CTGGTGCGAACCTAGAACAGCATCTGCAAGAAGAGAACGATGAGAGTGAACGGAAAAAGGTTGAAGAACAACTTCCGAAACTTGGAGAAGCAATGAATGAGAGAATGAAGATCGGAGGAATTGAGCTGACACCAGCAAGTACACTCAAGCAGTTGAGAAATGCTTGCAAGTTCCTCAAGGTGGAAAAACAGGAAGTACAGTTAGAGAAAGTTCCGGTTCCAAACAAGTTCACACTTTGCCGCCTTGCTGCCTGCTGTTCTAATTTTGGGGGAAGACTGACACAAGACTTTGACTGGAACCGACTGAGAGGCTTATTTGTTTTACTCGCAACGAGGAGCTGTGAAAGCCAGATCTGGCTTCCCGTGTGTGAAAAAAGCCGCAACTGGGCCCAAAAATGGCTCCTAAACTTGGGTTCCACTCACACAGGAAATCCAAAATCTAGGGCCCGTTTTCGGTGCCCAGAATTGAGCTGCTTTTGGAACCCATTTGGGGTCAATAATAATTGAAATCAACTCACAGACAAACAAGATTTTTTCTATTCGACACTGTTTGCATCAACACTCAAGAAAACAAAAAACGCCGTCGATACGCGTGTTCTTGGCTTGCTAAACTTGTCTTTAGCTGGCATTCAAGACAAAGCAGTCTTGCATTGTTCGCGTGCGATCTTCTCGCACTGTGGAGGTCACTTCGGCTTCCCTACCTTTTGGGGTTGATTTCTTGCCCTCTTTTTGTGTCTCCAAATCCACACACCTTTCACCACCCGCACACTTCCACACTTGAACAACCAGCAGAACCCAGCCGACATACACGCACACCACCCACTAAAGCCACTTTGCACCCACATGATGACACACACCACACTCCATGACACACACGACTCTCTGCCAAAACGCCGAAACCACAACACACCACACCCATTCACAATGAAAAAACGAGGTAAACACACACAGACACCACTGCAAGGTCACTGTTTTTTTATTTGGTGTCACTTCTGAGACTCCATGCCTTACCACCCTTTGCCCACACACTGACACTTTCCTGCACACTCAAGCCAAAGACATGCACCCGCAAACCAACCCCACTTTGCAACCACAAATGCTCACACACACACATCCACAACACTCTTGCACATGCGCACTCAGAAAAACAGCCGAAACCACAACATGCACATTCTTATGGATGTCTTTAAACTCCAATTGCAATTTTTTCACTGTCTTTCTGGTCAATCGACAGCACTCACCAAAACACTTGCTGAACAATCTGTTTGTGTTTTAGGACGGTTTCTCGAAACCCTCTTTCCAAAGCTTGCAACTCAACCAAGAGATCATCATTGAACAAAAGCAAGAGAATGAAAAAAATTAATTTAAAAAAAACAAATAAAGCGTTGCTGTATCTGAATCCATGGCTAGAACGACTTGTCGCCCAGCCTCGATTTCCATTCTATTCAAATTTTTGACAAAGCTTGATTGCGTTCTCTTGTCTTTGATTTTCCCAAAATGGCCAAACAAACATGAACGCACACTGAAATTTTGACAGCAAAGAGAACTCGAAGGAGGAGCCGCGGAAGAGCCTAAAGCCACGAAAGATGTGAAAGATGCATTGTGCAGAAGTTTGGTTATGTTTGTCCACGCCATTCCAGTTCAAAGCAAGGAAGCGACAGCTATCTTCTGGTAGAGGAAGTCTGCAGAGTACTATGCTATGCAGCCAAAGGTGATCCTGAGAAAGGACACCGAACCAGCAATGATTGCGTTAAGAAAGAAGATACAGGCAATGCAAAAGATGCAGATGCTCAATACGAAGCTTCAAGATGTGATGCCAGACACGCATCAAGGAGCACAAGTTGAAAGATGGGTACAAACGGCGAGAAAGAAGCAAAGGTAAAGATCATCATTCGACCGTCCTGTCAACTGCTCTTGGCTTTGATTCCAGGCGTTCCACATGCATTTGCCAATGTCTCCACTTCGAACGTTGGCGAACAGTCTTATTGTTCAAATTTCAATTTGATTTTAAGGGTTTTTTTCACATTTTCGAAGACTTCAGAAATTATGGTGCTGAATCCAGGAAAGGAAGAATTGCAACACGCAGCTTGGAAAAGTTCAATGCTTTGAAACACGTGTTTTTAAAGCCTCTGACAGTGCCGTTTGGACAGAAATCAACTGCAGGACAAGACGAGTTCAACTGTGGTTGATTCGTTGAGGTTGCGCGCGACGCTCAAGCCAAACCACTTGGAAATTGCAATGTGTATTACCAGAATGTGAATAAGTGCAAGCGAAGCGAGCAAAACACCAGAGTAAACTCTAAAAAATTTAATTAATCAAGTGATTCCGCTTCTGGTGCTCACCAGATTCATGTTCAAAAAAGCATGTTCTTTCCAACGAATATTTCTTTCTTCCGTGCACCTTTCTCCTTCGTCTTCGATTTTTTTTTTGGACTGGCGCCTCTTTACTACATCAGTAGTAGCCCGGTCTTGTTGGACTCGACACAGGTGAAACGAAGTCAGCGCGCGCAAACACCAAACACACCACGCAACGACCCAAGAAACAAAGAAACAGAAGAAACGAAGCAAGCGCGCTGAACTACTAGGTAATCCCACGCACTTAGCACTCGAAGTCGTCGTTGAAGTCCCGGCGCAATCATACAGCACAGAGCATGCAGGGAGTCGCAAAATGCAACACTGCCAGATTCTCAAAACCACCATCATGTAGCTACTGGTGCGACATCATTCGACTCGAACCGAGGTCATCACTCGATAGTCAGAATTCCGTACTCGTCGTCAAGGACATTTCTCCTTCGTCTTCAAGTGTCTTACAACCGCACATGTTCATTTGTACTCACGGTCAAATTCCAAATCGAACGGAGTCTGACCCTGTTGTGCAAACCTGTTCAGCAGGAATGCTGTGTCTCGGTGCCTATGGATATAGTGTATTTGCTTTATCTTGTTTGACGCTATAGCTTTCTTAAATCTGCCAAATTTGAGCTTACTGTGGAGGTTACTGGAGCTTCCCTACCTTTTCGATTAGCTGCCTCTCATCTTGGATTTCAGAGTTTCCAGTTTTGGTGCAAGGAGAAGAGGAGAAAAGAAGGGTGCAGAGTCAACATCGGTGGAAACTGCAACCAAAACGAAAGACAAAGAATGAGGGCACCCAGCCTGAAAGAAAAGCAGAGTTTCTTCCGCTCAATCTTCTCGTGCCTTCTGGATCTTCCTCGGCTTCACGAGAGGTCAAACTTACTTAATCTCTTTTCCTTGCTGCTTTCCTGCTGCTTACTTTAGAACTTATTTGGCCTTCGAGTGAAGAAAGAAGGAGACACGCTGACACACCTGCGGAAGGCGGACTGGTGTGATTGTTCGGCAACAAGAAGTAGAGAAGATGACTTTAAGACAACAGAAGAAGCATGAAGCGTCGTTAGTAAGCATGGATTTCAAGTTCACTGGAACAAGGAGGACTCGAAGTCGAGTTTGAAGGTGCTGAAGAAGAAATGAGCTCAGAACTAGGAGATGATGAAGAGCCGACTCACAGAAATGAAGGTCCTGAAGGAATTGCTTGAAGGCACGAGTGTGAGCAACTACAAGTACCTCTCATGGAGGCATCGAGACAATGAATGGCAACGGCGTGGCCCGTTAGTTGCCCGCGAGTTTAAATGGTTGGGGTCAACGGACATCGCAACGCTATTTTCTCCAACGGGAGTTGCAAGCACAGTGAAGTTGCTCTCAGCAATGTTTGTGTCGTCGAACAACCACATACTTGGAAGCATCGACGTAGGAGATGCCTGCTTGATGTGGAACAAGAAGAGCCAACAGTCGTCGAAGTTGACGGAAGGTACTACGAACTCGATTCACGTTGCCAGGGCAACGGATGGGATCAAGCGCATGGTTCAACAAGCTGAAAGGATACCTCGAAGAGTATGGGTTGAAGTCTGACGAAGGACTACCTGCTTTGTTCTACAGAAGACCAGAAAAAGGAAAAGCTGGAATGGTGGTGTTGTCACATGTTGATGACATGGAATTGTACGCAACGAAGGAAGAGTTTCAGGAGCTGATCGAGTTCTTGAGGAAGAAGAAATTGAAGATCAAGGTCGAAGGACCATTGAATGTACACGAAGGTTCAATGAGTTTTCTGAAGAGAGGTTTCAGCGCCGTGAACGACGGAGACGTTGAGATAACGATGAACTCGAAGTACATCGAAGGATTGGTCGATGCATTGGAGTTGGATCAGTCGTATCCGAAGAAGTTGCCATGCCCGGCAGACAACGGAAGAGCAATGCAAGCGAAGAAAGGAGGAATGGACCCATTGTCTGAAGAAGATCACCACACGTACAGGAAGGGTGTAGGTATACTGTTGTACCTAGCACCAGAAAGGCCCGATCTGATGTATGTGCTGAAGAAACTTTCGACGAAGCTAGCATCGCCTGTTGAGGCAGACATGGAACTGCTAAGGCATGCTGCGAAGTATCTGAAAGGCACACCCGACGTGTCGCTGATACACAAGAAGAGTTATCCAGGAAGAAGTTTCATCGAAGAGCGAAATGAGAGAAAAGAGGAAGAAGTTGAGAGAAATGTCTATGAGCAAGAGTCACTGTTGGAGATAGTGACGGATTCTGATTGGGCAGCCGACAGAGAGTCGAGGCAGAGCGTGTCGTGTGGAGCGATCATGCTGAATGGAAATCTGATTCATTTTCAGAGCAAGCGGCAGAAGAGCATAGCTCTCAGCTCACGCGAAGCAGAGACTATCGCCGCAACGTCAATACTTTCTGAAGGAGTGTTCCTGAAGGCACTGTTGACGAGAATCCTTGGCAAAGAGCCGAACATGGCTGTTCTTGTAGCCTTAGGTGAAGCGAAGAAGTTCAGCGAAGAAGAAGAAATTGGAGACAATGAAGGATCAACGCTGTGCATGAAGATTTTGATTGTGTTGATAGGATGCGTAAGTTGTTACTTGATTCCCGTCGCAGCCGTTTTGCGGATCAAGCTTGTGAGAGTAGAAAAGGAAAGAAGAAAAGAAGGAATGGCTGAAGAGCATTCCAACGTGATGGAGCAGCGGGTTGAAGAGCTCGCGGAAATGAGAGAAGGAGCAATGGCTCGAAGGGAAAACTTGCTCCAGGAGAATGCTCCTGAGAAGAAGGAAGAAAGTGAAGCTCCTGAAGGTGAAAAAGAAGAAGAGAAAGGGAGCGAGGATGAGCAAAAGGCGTCATCCGAAAAGGCCGAAAGTTACTCGGAGAGTTACTACTCAAGTTCGTCAGAAGAAGAAGAAGGGCCCAAGGAGGCCGAAAAGCCCAAAGAAGGGGAAGGCCACAAGACTGAGGACTACATCCTTTTGTCAGAAGAAGGATTGTGGGCTGTAACGAGACAGTCGGCTCTGCTTGACGAGGAAAATCGAATGATTCTCGAAGGAGAAAATGCCCTGAACATGGATTTCGTGAGAAGCGAAAGGCTGAAGCAAATCTACGACGATTTCCAGACGAGAATGAAGCAGCCGACAGAGCAGCTACCGGACAGTTTCGGGAGCCAAGTTGAAAAATGGGGAGCCGAAGCAATGGACTTGCTCACCGACCTCCGTGACAGCGAAGAGATCATCCACGGTGACCGGGATGAGATTGAGCAAAGGCTCGATGGAGCAAGAAAGAAGTTTGAGAAGAAGAAGGAGGAGATCGCTGAAAGCCTAAAGGAGGCAGATGGCCTCAAGAAAGAGATGGACGAAGCCGAGAAGGAGTTCCAAGAGGCAACGGAGGAAGTGAAAGACTTCCAAATTTCAAAAGACGTGGTCAAGGGCGTCGTGGTAATGATGCGAACGGCCGGTGAAGTGATGAAGGCATTGATTGACGAGCGGCCTGAGTTTGGAAGGCTTTTTGAGAAGAAGAGAGAGCGAGTTTCTCTCTATGACTTGATCAAGAAGAAAAGAGAGGCCGAAAGCGAAGCTGAGCCGATGGGCAAAGAGCCAATGGGCAAAGCAAGCGAGAAGAAAGGCGTGACAATGCAGCCCAAAACGAAAGCAATGCCCAAGAGGGTGCCGTCGCCTTTGAGAGAGAAAGAGCGAGCCCGAGCAAAAGAAGCAAAGGACCGCCGAAAGCCCAAGATGGGACCCAAGGAAGCAGCACAGTTGCTTTTTCTGTGGGGAAACGACCCACAAGGCAATGAACTGCGAGGCCATGGCCCAGCAAGCGCTGGACCTAGGCGGAGTCGTACCGACAAGAGAAGACCGAATCGCAGCCGGTTCGAGTTTGTTTTGCAAGCACTGCTTCCTGACCTCGAAGGAGGACCCCAGGACCAAGATGTGTGGTTGGGGTAACCATACCCACCAGCGCTGCAGGAACTGGAAAGCTGGAGAACGAGAAGAGCAGCGACTGGCCAAAGTCAAGAGATGGAAATGGGCCAGAGTGTGCCAAAGGCCCCAAACCCCAAATGGGGGGCCGAGCCGACGACTACCAAACGTAAGGTTGAGGATGAGAAGCCTGAGGCGGAGGCCAAAGCCAAGGGTGAAGGCCCTGTGATCGAAGAAGTGGAAGATGATTCCGGAAGGATTTCCAAAGGAAGAGCTTGAAGAAGCGAAGAAGGAAGACGAAGTGAAGATCAAGTGGAGCTTTCCGGAGTTGGAAGACGAGCGGAAGGCGAAGATGGCAAAGGCCAAAGCAGCAAAGGAAAGCGTCGAGAAGGAGCAAGCGCTGAAGGCAGCCAAGAAGAAGAAGTCTGGCAAGAAGGAGAAGAAGGAAGGAAAGGCGAAGAAGGAAAAGAAGGAGAGAAAGTCCAAGAAGGAGAACAAGGAGACGAAGACAAAGAAGAAGGCAAAGGCCCCAGCAGCCGAGATTCAGAATGAGGACCTTTGAAGGGTCAAGAATGGGACCATAAGGTCATGAGGGCGAAGAGCCCAGCTAGGCCAACAGGCCTGAGCTTTTCAGCTCGAATCAGAGTTTCACCAAGCCAACGACACGTCTCACAACGAAGCTAACGACACGTTTCACAAACGAATGTATGTGTTTAAAATGTGTTTCAAGGCGTGAGGTGATGGAGTGATGCAACGGCCACATGCGAGAAATGTGTGCAATACTCCAGATGATCCCAATGATCCACACAAAACCAACGAGCCTAATGAGGAATGCGAGAAAGGTGTGGAACAGCTCAAAGGAGCATGGGAGAAAAGTGAGAATGTGTTTGAAAGTCGTTTCACCCAACGAGTTTCAAAGAGGGCGTAACAAAGAGTTCACTTTTCATGCCCGACATGTTTCACGCTGTGTATAGGCTCAAACCGCACCCCTCGTGAAAGCCGCGAGTGAGAGGAAAAGAGTGCCGAGAACCTGTGTTCTAGAAAGGTTGAGATTAGCCTTTAAACTTTTATCGACTCAGGAGCATTGGTGACTGTGATTGCGAGGAGAGACCTGGAGGAGTTCCAGATCTTGGAACGAAAGGCTTTGGGACCGAATGAGAGGTACTCAGCAGCCAATGAGACTCCGGTGAGTGTCTTCGAGCGAGTTCGCATTCGTGCTTTGTTGCCGATGTATGAAGGTAACCAATATCTTGGCTTGATCTCGTCGCTAGATGTGACAGAAGAAGTTTGCGAACGTTTTAGGGTTTAGGATGGTTGCTCTGACCCAAAAAAACGAAAACACCTTCAAAAATGTAGGCAACAAAACCCATACAAAAACAAGTAGAATGCAAAAAAAACACCAACTTGTTCTTCTGATTGCGTGATGGTGATTTTGTCTTCTGGCACACAGTCGCATTTTGCGACTCTCCCACCCTACTCGGTGCTACTCTGGCTCATCTCAGGGACTGCATCGACGAGCTTTGGTACTGAGCGCGTGGGATCTGTGTTTCGTCGCCCTCTTCTGGTCTGCTGCATGGTGTGATGCTGCGACTTTTTTGGCGTGAACGGTCAGGAGCGTTTGCGCAAGACTCTTTCGAGCTCTCCTTGGGATTCAATGGGGATGGACCTGGAGGACTGGGAACCGGCTGTTCTTTGTTGCTGTTTTCTGTGGTTGGAGTCACGCTTCAAGTCTGGGGAGTTGACGTGGCACGTTTCTGCAGTGCAGGTTTGCCAAACATTGCGAAAGTTTTTGGAGTAAGAATAGCGCGTGGTTTGGGGTGGGTCTGGCTGGGTTTTGACCATGCCTGAATGGACTGGGGTGGGTTTGTGTTTTAAAAATGGACTCGGTGGGTTGGAGCTGTTTAGAGGGTGATATATAAGTCAGGAGACGCTTATGGTAACTTATTCCAAAAAGCCATTACATGTCACTACAGCCTCTTTTGTAGCAGACGTCACTACAACGTCACTACAACGTCACTACAACGTCACTACAACGTCACTACAACGTCGCTACAACGTCACTACAGCCTCTTTTTTAGCAGCACCGCGTTATGACCGCGTTGTGACCGCGTTGTGACCGCGTTGTGACCGCAATCGCGCTGTGACGTGACCGTGTTGTGACCGCGTTGTGACCGCGTTGTGACCGCGTTGTGACCGCAATCGCGCTTTGACGTGACCGTGTTGTGACCGCGTTGTGACCGCGTTGTGACCGCGTTGTGACCGCGTTGTGACCGCGTTGTGACCGCGTTGTGACCGCGTTGTGACCGTCACAACGCGTTGTGACCGCAAGAAATGAAGCGAAAAGAATTTCGTTTGTTTCAATAATGAGTCAAATATGAGCCAACAATGACTCAATAAAGACTCATAATGACGCAATAATGTCACAATAATGACTCAAAAATGTTGCAATCTTTGCTCGAAGCAGCAGTTGCAGCAGTAGCCGAAGAGACTCCAAAAAAAGATTGCAGTCTTCACCGTAAAGGATTTAGCATTGTACAGCAGTTTGCACGTTTTTACGATTTGTCACTGTTCTTCGCGACGCTGCAACAATGCTGATCAGGCGGGACGGTGGCAGAACAGAGCAGTGGGACGGAGGCGGAAGTGCAGAGTAACAGCAGTGGCAGGGCAGCAGTAGCAGGGCGGAGTGGCAGGGCAGCAGTGGCAGTGGCATGGCAAGGGCAGCAGTGGCAGGGCAGCAGGACGGAGGGCAGCGGAGCGAGTGGCGGACAACGAGCAGGGTGCGCAGGTCGGCCGGAGGTCCTGTTGTTTGCGACCTGGGAAGGAGCTCACCATTTGAGCTCCTTCGGCAAGGGTTTGATTCCGGGTTCGCTTGGTTTGATTCCGGGGTTCACTCAGTTTGATTCCGGGGCTTGCCCGGTCTTGCATCAGGACTGCGGATCGTCAACACGATTCTTGGGGTAAGTACAGGTTCGACGAAACCGAGCGTTATCAGCATCTCGTCGTGTTCTTCGGTCGCGCGAAGGAAGGCTTGAGGAGTGTAGGCTGCTGTCGCCCACATGGTTCCTCGATGAGGTTCGAGTTCTGCGCAACAGCATCGTCCTGAGCGGGCGGAAGCTCGCTACCGGGAGCAGCAGAGGCTTTGGCCTTCAGACGGAGGCTTTTTAGGCTTTTTGACTGTCAACTTCAGCGTGCCCGACTATGGAAAGCCTCCGACACTTTCCTGAAGAAGGCCATCAAGAAGGAGGAAAACTTGACGGTTGCAACCTGAAAGCGCCGGATTTTCCACCACAAAGAAGGCACATGGAAAAGAAGATGAAGGCCACATTGCTCCCTTCCACTGAAAAGATGCCTTTCGGCTATTTTGTACCACAGCCTGTGTTTCTTGCGCTTTGCATTTCAAGTTTCATTCAAACCAGCATATTTCGATGCACATTCACAGGGGTGGTTTGCAGACGATGTTCCATGTGAATTTTACTTCCGTTGGCAGGCATTGCTTGCTGGTATGGCTTTTTGCGCAGATGCTTGATGGCATGAGATTTCATGTGTCCGTAAATGCAGGTGTTGGCACAACCCAATGAGTTGAGGTTTGTCACTCAAGCAGTCAGCCGCAGCCTACATGAGATACAGCGCACCATGTGTTTTGATAGACTGTCCGCCATTTTAGCAGCGCACATTGAGCATCCACGTGTCACTTTAAATGTCCTCTGCCATGAAGCGACCTGCAGAAGATGGAAAAGAGCCACTTGTCAGGAAGCGCCGCATACTGCCACCCATTGGAGAAGTGGCTGAGGAAGACCAACATGTTTTCATTCCCTTACAAGGATGTGGACAACATTGGCAAGTTGTTTGATGGCGGGCATAGTGTTGTATTCATCCGTGGCGGCGTGGCCATCGGCAAGACCACATTGGCAGAGCATTTGGGCCGCTCTGAGAAGTATGTGAATGTGCCCTTCACTGAACATGGTCTTGACGATGCTTGGAGGGTGAGCACAGTGGAAGCCGTGGAACAAGCAACTGGCAAAGTTGACAGAGATGGTTCAGCTTTCCGGAATGCGCTGAAGCAAGCCAAGGACAACAACTTGACCCTGATTTATGATGAAGCTCACACACTGTTCCTCTCTCCAGACCTATGCTCAGCCCTATTCAAAGCAAGCATTCACTATCGACCACGGGTCTTGCTGTTCTCAGCGTCAGGTGATGCTTCAAACACATCAGGCCTCGCCATGACAACGCCAAGTGAAATCACCCAAAAACTCATGTGGAAACCACCTCTACCCTGCAGTCTAGACCTGAAAAGACAGCTGGAGGAAAGTGGCGTCAAGCTGGACGAAGAGAGCATCGACTTCTTTGCCAGCTTCTGTGGTGGGCATCGAGGCATTTTCATCGCTGCGATGCACTGGGTGAAGAGCAAGCAGAACGCTGTTGACAGTTGGAGCCTCAGAAAGACGGTGGGATGTGTGCGGAACAGCTACAACGAGGGGAGTTGGAACTGTGCTGACACAGAGCTTCTAGGGTTTGTGAGATCGAGCCGTGCAGTGCGTATCAATGGTAGGTTCCACGCTGTTGGACACATTCCTCAGGAGTTTGTAGAGCTGCTTTGCAAAGGGGCATGCAGCATTGCAGAAACGGACGTTCGGAGAGAGCTTACCGTCAATGGCTTTGTGCTTCCAAAACCTGACAGAGGCATTGAAGCAGAGTTCCAAAAACTGGACTGGAACAACGCACATATGGAGCACCAAGTGGCGAACCCTCTACTGGCTTCATATTACCGCTTCATTTTGAAGACACGATGCGCTTTGGAAGTTGCGTGGGAAAGGAGCAATCCCCAACACTGTGCAGACTTACTGATGCGAGCATTGCCCTACCTGTTCTTCTCCAAGGTCGTGAGCTTCGAAGGAGATGTATCTCAGTTGGCGAAGGGCGGTCTCCCACACGAGCAACAGTATAACCAAGCCATCCTCAGTGTGTTGACGGAAATCGGCTACAAGCCCTTTGCTCCACAATCGTCGACGGAGGGTGACGGGAAGCCAGACCTTATGGTCAAAATTTGTGAGGAGACGTTTGTCATGGAGGGCGCGAAGGAACAGATCGAAGAGCACCTTGGCCGCTTCAATAAGTATGAGAATTACAAGAATGCCAAGCACAAGGGTGTCTACATGATCGGCAAGGACAATGAGAAGGTGCTTCGGACCGTGATGTCATCTTGTGGAGGCGATGTCCAAGTCATAGGCTTGGTCCCCAACATCGCCCACACCGCCTACACCGTTCACGTGAAGAGCAAGGGCATCACAAGCATCAACACCTTCAGGGTGGACTGCGACCTCGTGGCAAGGAGGTTGGTGCTCAAAGACGATGGCAAGCCTGAGCTCCACAGTGTCCAATCGCTGAAGAGCGTCAACCTGTTTACAAAAGCTCAGAGCAGACGCTGGGTGAGAAGTCTGGTAGTTTTTCTTTTTTGTTGTCTGTCATCCTTCTCTGCTTCTGTGTTTCGGAAATAGGTCTCTTGCCTTCGTGCGCATGTCATGATCTGTGCTCCTTCGGATTCCTTTTCTCTTGTTTGATCTGCAAATCTCGGCTGCGTTGCGTCTGTTAGCACCCTGTGAGGCCCATTTGCCGGATCTGCAGGCGCAAGAGTTGCAAGGTTTGAGACCGTTGCTCCAGGTGCTAAGACATGTGACCGGCTGGAGGTTCGAAATACCAACCTTTCGCGTTCTGCGAGACTCTGCAGGCACGACCTCAACGTCCTCCGTCTGGGTGCGGGAGCTGATCCGCAAGGACTCTGCTGTGTGAGAGCCAGTGCCGGTAATTCGAGCGCAAGGCTGACCGAGAGCATCAGTTGCATTCAGCTGAACGCAGGGTTGGGGCACCTGTTGGGATCTGAGCTCCAGTGTGTCTCGGACGCTCGTCGAGAGGGGCGGAGCATGCAGCATGCCCATAGTGGCACACGTCTGATCGTGGGGGAGGGGAGGGGCGGGTGGCTGGGAGTTTCGGCTGTTCCTTGCTGGAGTGTTTCTGCAAGTTTGCTGTCAGTTCATGTCTGCCACAGTTTTGACCCACTCGACTCGCAGGATGGGAAGATCACAGAAAAGCTGAGGCCCAAGGAGGGTTCCCATTGCCGGTTGTTTTGGAGAAGCACCTCTGTGCAGATAACGTCTCGTCAAGAGGACCCTGAGGGCGAGGACGAGCTCGAGCCGGCGTTTCAGGTGGAGTCTCCTCAGGCCATCGGACGCCGCACCATGTGAAGTGGAGTTTGGTCGCATCTCGGCAAGGACCATCCGACACTCAAAAATGTGGACCATTTGAAAACAGACCCGCCCTCGGCGTGCTTCCTTTGCGCATGTCCCGACATGTGCGCAAGTCACGAGGCCATTAAGCAGAAGAATTCCGTCAGTCTCGAGAAGATCGATGCAAGGAATATCGACATCTACTCACAAGAAGCGTGGAGCCCCAGACAGCCTTTTCTGTTGGCTCCTTCCCATGCTGCTAATGATGCTGGCAGGCTGGCGGAGCGTGGCAGCGCATCGAACGCACATCGGAAGCCCTGCGTCAGGACACCAGCGAGCCCGACCCTCGGCTTCGTGATCGGCCATTTGCCTTCCACGTGACAGCATCACTGCTAGGCGAGACTGCTACGGCTTTTTGCCGCGACGGGCAACTTGAAAGGCCGGGCGATGTGATGTGTGAAGGAAATCGGAGCATCAGTGCTGCGCAGGCACCATCTCGCTCTGCAAGTCTGTTTGCACGGTCTCTCAGTTTCACATGTCGAGGTTTGCGATGTGCATCATGCAAGTCTTCGGTGTGGTCATTTTTGCTGCAAGTGGTGTGCTTAGATCGGCAGCAGTAGCGAGCTAGGCCACTGCTGCAGTGAACTAGATGACTGCAGTAAAGATTTCGCTGCTTCCGGGCCACACCACGGTTAGATCAAGCCTGCTACCGAAACGGCAGCGTGTGCAGTGTCAGCGATGAGGGAGGTGCTTGCGCCACATAGCAGCCCTTGGGGATGATCAGTGTCTCACTGTGTGAAGTGCACAGACGCGATCAATCCATTTGAAGAAAAGCGGGGAAGAGCGCTTGAATTGCTTTGCTCAGCCAGTACTCACCTGCCAGCACGATGTGGAACGCTTCAAGCATGACAGTAGTTTTGTGCGAGTGTTGGCCAGCCCTGCCGTTCTTCAACTTTGAGTCTTACTTGTTGGCATGATTTTTCTGGCTATTCGTGAATGAAATCGGCGAATCCGTGCTCGCAGCTGGTTTTGCGGGCTCTGGGTTTCACTTGACCGCGTCGTGACCGCGTCGTGACCCGGTCGTGACCCGGTCGTGACCTGTCGTGACAGCGTCGTGACCACAAAACGCGTCGTGACCGAGGTGACGACATCGTCGTGTCCGCGTCGTGACCGCGTCGCAACCGTCATGACCGCGTCGTGGCTGCCTCGCGTGATCGCGTTGTGGCCACAAAAGCGCCCGCGTCGCGACAACGTCGTGACCGCGTCGTGACCGCAAAAGCGTTGTGACCGCGTCGCAACCGCGTCGTGACCGTGCCGTCGTGACCGCGTCGTGACCGTAAAAACAGCGTCGTGAGCGCGTCGTGGCCGCGTGCAATCTAGAATGCGTGTAGAGACCTCGTAGCAGCTCTACGGTGAGGTGTAGCTCTGACATGCGTCTAGAGACCGCGTCGACGCGGCGAATCTTGCAAGCGAGCTTGTTTGAGGGTTTCTGCTTGATTGCCGAAGCCGGTTCTCGGATTTTCGTATACCTGCTTGATGATCTTTGCCCTAGCCTCTGCCATGTTTTCTATGGGAGAGGCTTTTACCTGCTCGGCTAGGCTGGCATGGCGCGGAGCCTTTGAAGAGTTTGGGCGTAGTGACCGCGTAGTGACACCGTAGTGACCCGTAGTGACGCGTAGTGACCGCTACAGCAGCACCGCGAAGAACAGTCGTAAAAGCGCTGCAAACTGCAGTAACATGCATAAGCAGCACTCGCTGCAGAGACTCGGTGAGAGACTCAGTCTTTATGGAATCTCTTACGGTGGAGACTGCAGTCTTTTTCGAGTTTTTTTGGAAGTCTGCCTACTACTTCTACTGCTGCTGCTGTTGCTGCTACTGCTGCAACTTCTGCTTTGAGCAAAGATTGCAACATTATTGAGTCATTATTGCGACATTATTGAGTCATTATTGAATCATTGTTGGCTCATATTTGACTCATTATTGAAACAAACGAAATTCTTTTTCGCTCCATTTTGACAACACAACGCAGTCACAACGCGGTCACAACGCGGTCACAACGCGGTCACAACGCGGTCACAACACGGTCACAACACGGTCACGTCACAGCGCGATTGCGGACACAACACGCGGTCACAACGCGGTGCTGCTAAAAGAGGCTGTAGTGACGTTGTAGTGACGTTGTAGTGACGTTGTAGTGACGTTGTAGTGACGTTGTAGTGACGTCTGCTACAAAAGAGGTTGTAGTGACATTTAATAGCTTTTTGGAATAAGTTACCATAAGCCCCCCCTTACTTATATATGGGTGGGGTGGGTTTGACCGTGTTTTGAAGGTGGGATGGCTTTGGGGTGGTTTTGACCATGCTTTGACGGGGCTAGGATGGGTTTGACCATGTTTTGAAGGCGCTGAGGGTAGCTTTCGGGTGGGTTTGGGGTGGGCTTGGGCGGGTTTGACCATGCTATGAAGGGGCTGGGTTGGGTTTGACCTCTTTTGAAAGGGTTGGGGTGAGGGGGGCTGAAACTGTGTTTTGAAGAGGCTGGGAAGGGGGCTTGATTTCCACAGCAAGTGCTAGGAGAGCGAGTCCTGCCTCGGCTTAACTTGCTTGAGAACATAGCGAAGGTCACTTTCCTGCTGCGTGATGGAGGCCCTCCACCCCCCTAGAGTCTTAACAAAACGGACCAAGGTGGCGAGCCTGCCCGCGAACGGCGGAGTCGTTGTGTTCCCGAATTAAAAAACGTTTTGTTATTCCGGGAAACCTAGGACTCCACGGCGCTCTATTGGCAATTTGCGAGGACTCCGCCGACTCCGCCGACTCCGCCGAGGCTTGTCACGCCGACTCCACCAGAGCTACAGTAGGTGCCCCTCTAATCTTGATTAGCGACGCCGCGTAAGTGGGCAGGGGTAGAGTTGCGGGAAGAGCACGTGACTATTAGCTGGAAGTGTATCAGATAGTAGAAGCAGAAGGCAGTGTGCGCGTGAGGCTTGCAGCTGTGGTCTGTGACCTCCAAATCTGGGGTCGAAAAATCTAGGCAATTCTGGCTTCGTGTGTGTGGGCCTCCCCTGTATGCATGCATGCAAGTGCGTGCATGCGTGCATGCGTGTTTGTCTGTATGCAGTATGTAGGGGTGTGTATGTATGTTGCATGTGTGTATGCATGCATGCATGCATGCATGCATGCATGCATGCATGCATGCATGGATGTATGTATGTGTGTGTGTGTGTGTGTGTGTTGAAAGCCTCTGGCGTGCAGAGAAATGTTCCAGTTGGAAGGGACGCCCATCCTTCTGGCGCACTGGTAGAGGTGGCACGTGATTCCCTCATTGGCTGTCTGCAATGTGTGCGTGATTGGGAAAAAAACATGTTCAGTGTCGATCAAAGGCAGTCGGCGCTACGTGGACTTGCTCATCTCAGCTGCATTGGTCGACTTCAAGGCCAAGGAGGTGGATCCTCTCAGTCGAGAGTCCTAAGCATCAATCGCTCAGGATGACACCTGCGAGGAGTGTGTGCGCGGGTGCGTGCGTGTGTGCATGTGTTATTCGTTGTATGTGTGTTGCGGTATGTGTGTGCGTGTGTTGGACCACACCCATCATAAAGTGTTTTGACTGCTTGTAACAGTGATCTGCAGCGCAACAATTGCAGGTTCTTTTTTTTTAGAGAAGCAGCAGGGTTTGGGGGGACTGTGCCAGAGAAGCAGCGGGGTTTTGGGGGACTGTGCTTCTGTGAGAATTTTCGCACAGGGAAGCAGCGGGGTTTTGGGCCTGTGCTTCCATGAGAATACTCGCACAGAGAAGCAGCGGGGTTTTGGGCGGACTGTGCTTCCATGAGAATTTTCGCAGAGAAGCAGCGGGGTTTTTGGGGGGACTGTGCTTCTATGAGAATTTGCGCGCAGAGGTTTTGGGGCGACGGAGTTTCTATGAGAATTTTCGCACAGAGAAGCATCGGGATTTTGGGGGGACTGTGCTTCTATGAGAGTTTTCGCACAGAGAAGCAGGGGGTTTTGGGGGGACTGTGCTTGTATGAGAATTTTCGCACACAGAAGCAGCGGGGTTTTGGGGGGACTCTGCTTCTATGAGAATTCGCACAGAGAAGCAGCGGGGTTTTGGGGGGACGGTGTTTCTATGAGAATGTTTGCACAGAGAAGCAGCGGGGTTTTGGGGGGACTGTGCTTGTATCACAAGTTGCAGAGATAGGCAGGGGGGTTGGGCACTGTGCTTGTAGGACAGGTGTGGAAATCTGCAGTGGGTTGGGACTGGACATTGAAAACCTGTGAACTGTAAAACTCCAGGCCCGATTGGGCAGGATCTAAGTGCAGGCACGCTTGCCTGCACACGGCAAGCGGTGCCGCGGTAACCAGGCTCGGGAACGCTTGCCTGCACACGGCAAGCGCCGCCAACGCCGCAAGCGAGCGTCAGTCGCTCGAGCACGATGTCGAAGAGTGGAGCCCAAGACATCAACATTCGTAGAAGCAGCTGTGGTATGTGTCAGTGGCTGTATGTAAACCCGAATCCTTAAGACCCCAAACTCATAACCTGTGGTCGAAGTTCTCACTGGTGAAAACCAAAACGCTCGTCAACTTCCGTTTCGGGTGATGCAGATCGCTTCAGTGAGATGTTGGATCGATTGTGAGCAGAGGTGTGTTCACTTCGTTTCTTTTGCTTCGCCTGTACACTTAGGGTTGGTGAAGGTCACTTGCTTCGTATGTAAACTCATTGACGTGCAGAGGGAATTTTTGTGTCGCCGCTGCGCCTTACAGCCCCCACTTCTGCGCAACTATGCAAAACAGGACATGAGTGATTTCAGTCAGGTAAACGCTTGTGTGCACTTACGTGATTGTGCAAAAGTTTTACATTTGCAATTATCGTATACTTTGATGGGGGTGAATGCCTGTGACATCAAAAACACGTTGAATTGGCCTCCGTCCATTCGACTACAACTGCCTGCGTGTCGGGCTTTGAGCGGGCCCAACTAGCAATCCCATGTCTGCATGAGGTAAGCTATTTGGGCACGGAGCGTCTCTAACTCGCAATTGCCTGCACGAGGTCACGTTTTTGTGTAGGGCACGTGTCCAACTAGATACCGGCGTGTGTTCACGAGCTTTGTGGCTTGGAGAAGGTTTTAAAGACTTTGACACGCACATGAGACCGTGACTCGCACATGAGGCCGTGACAAGACACAGCAAGACACAGTGCGTGACGCAATCAATGTAGCAGATATGCGAGCATAAACGCAAAGCCAGCATTTATCTGCCATGAGTCCTTGGGACAAGCGGTTGCAAGCAGAAACGGTTCAAATTCCCTCATCCATTTGCAATCATTTTCCAAAATTCTCCAAGCCATGGAATGAGCCACCCCTGGAAGCTCCATGACCTGTGGAGCTAGGAAGGCAACCCGTGCCGTTTTATGTTCTACGTTTTTTTGCAAGTTTGGGTTCCCGAACCGGGTGTCCTAGGGAATGCAAGAGCTTGGAACTGACCGTGATGGCGCATCTCTTCACTAAGGTCCTTCTCTGGCTGGTGTTCGTGCTGGCCGCTGTCGCAGAGCCAGGCTGCGGAGCTAGCGACCACCTTGGGCTCCTACAGCACGCGCTGCACGGCAGCGCCGGCTCAATTCTGTCAGCCCTGGCGAGCAGTCTTCGCTCCCCTAGCCTCGATGGGGAGAATGTGCGAGCGCAGGTAGAGCAGCTGGTGGAGCTGGCACAAACTCCGTGTCCACCATACTCATACCTCAGCACGTTCCAGCCCGTCGTCCACGGTCTGCTGGAGACCGCCCAGCGTGTTCTCACCCAAATCCAAGAGGAGCATCAAAAGGCCCAAGCCAGCCTCGATGCCCTTCGAAGCAGCCTGACGCACAGCAGCTGTGAGCCGGAGGCTTGGGCCTGGGGGGGCCTTGGGGGAGATTTGTGTGGGAGGTTTGCGTGATATGCATTTGGATGCCTCGGTTCTGCTTTGCTCTGAAGTGGCTTCTTGCTTGGGTTCTGGTGACCGGAGGCTTCCAACCCGCAGCTGACGACGGAAGAGGAGCTCTTGGGCAGTGGGCCTGGGAAAATTGAAAGGGTTTCTAGATGAGCGACGTTCCCCTGGATAAGCGTTTTTGTGCAGTTTAGCTATGTTTAGCCTTCCAGCTCATAAGCATGGCCAGTTCAGGCAGCGGTAAAGAGCCGCCTCGCCAAGTGCCTGATGCTTGGTGGATCTAAATTTCGTGGCGTCGCCCCCGGTTTGCAACAGAAGCAGGGACAGAAGTGACAGAAGAGAGGAGCCAGCGCTTGTTGGGTCCCTTTCTGTTTTGGTCTTGTCATGCTAGATCACCTCCCCCTTTGCCCAAGGAGCGTGATGGCACTGCGCCTGAATGAATCTGCAGCGCAATGGAAGCGATCCTTCACCACCTGGAGGACGACGGAATGTCACGTCGAGTTTCTTCGAGCTCAAGTCTCCAACTGCAACAATGGCAGCACCCCGTCCGCTCCGCTCTCGAGAAGCACGGTCCCCTCCGCCCCGTCCATGCCACGCTGGAGAAGGCGAAGGAGACGGCGCGGAGGAAGGCGGTGGAGAAGACCCTGGAGAAAAGGCGATGTTACTTATGGAGCAATGGGAGCATCTGGCACACCGGAAGGCTGCGCCGAAATAGTCGTCAACACCTCGATGTTGGACTTAGTGTATCCTCCGCTGCCAGAGACGGTGAGTTGCGACACTTCAGACATCCAGAAATGGGTCCAAGACTCTTGCAATGTTACAGCTTAACTTAAATTTTGAAAGAAGGCCGATTCCCAGCTTTTCGCCACTGCCTCCATAGCTGCCTCTTCTCGGCAAAGCCGCCCAGAGGCGATTTTAAACACCATACGCAGACTGTGTCAGAGCCGCTGGGAGGGCACAATGGCACAATGGGGCACAAGAAGTGCAGCAAAAGTGTTTGCGGCCATGAGTTCGCGTCGTGCCGAGCAGACACTTGGCAATTTGTTGTTGTGTTTGATGCTATTCTTGCCACCTTGAGATTCGGCATCCGTAATCCTATGTGTGGCCACAGTTCGTGGTTCGTGGGAGTATCACGGTTGTGAACAGCGGCCTTCCCTCATGGCGTCGTGCAGGCTCCTCATCCTGGAAACTTGGCAGCAGGACTCAGGATGGGATACGGGATAAATTTCTGGTTGCGGGTGGAGCTGTTGTAGAGATGTCCAAGCCAAGGCTGTCTTCAGCTTGGTGGATGTCGACGGCGCATGTGAGGGCCAGGTCTGTGAGGAGCATGCTTTCATTCAGCTGCACTCTGCGGCAAACACCTCGCACACCTCGTTGCTCAGTGTGGGTCGGGGACGTGACGTCGGAAATCTGGACCAGGTTAAGGCAAACGTCCGTCAAATGGCCATGAGCCGAGTGACTGGCAACGCTGAGCCCTTCAACGTCAGCCAGTTCAATGCAATTTTCCAGGCGATCCTGGATGACATGGACAGTGTCATCGGCGAGACGACCAGCACAGCGACAAACGACAATGCTGAGCTCGTGCAGCTTGCGGGGCAACTTGCCACGTGCAATTCCGACCTTTCAAGCCGCAATCCTGACACGGTCACAAGCATGAGCCCGTCTGTGAGCGCTGCGCAGACCGCTCACAATTCTTGCCGGAACACCCAACACCAGAAGAAGACCGACACAGCCACGGCGCTGCAATCATTGAGCACCTCGGTGTCGAACCACGCTGACTTGCCCGACACTCAGGCAGTGGAGAGTGTGGAGAGTTGCATTGCAAATTTCCACGCCCAAGACTACTTCACGAATCCGGACAATGCTGCTGAAGCTGTGAGATGTGCTGCTACCGTCCGAGACTACATGTCAACCTTCCACGATGAGGCAGAGCCGCTTCTGGAGGGCTACGAGACGCAGAAGTCGGCGTTGGAGACGCAAGAAGCCACGTGCAATCAGGCCCAAGCCAGCCTGGAGTCGAGCTTTTGCACGTTTCGTGGAGAGCTCTTGGTGAGCTGTCATGCGCTAGACCAGTGCTTCGATGATGCGAAGACCTTGTTCGACACGTCTCTGGCAATCATCCAGCAGTCCAACACCAGCAGGCACGTGGCCTTTAGGGCCGCCCAGCAGGTGAAGTGCTACATCCAGGTGCTGCGTCAGAGCCAGCCGACCCTTGCTGACGTAGAAGCATGCGACAACGCGCAGCCGGATGACTATGATACTTCAGCTCTCACCCTGCACGTTCCCTCGCCAGCTGCAAAGGCAGCCTGCGTCACGTCGCTGGTGGATGACCACCCCTGTGAAACGCAGTGGCTGGCTGACTACTATCACGGACAAGCTTGGTACCCGACCATCTCGCCGAACACCTGCCGCGCGCTCAGACGCGTTGTTTGCTGGATGCTCAGTATGCTCAGTGAGAGGGAAGACCTCCCCTCGCGCCTCGTGCATCCCCTGATGCCAAGGCACTCCATGCACCACCAGCGCTGGAGAGGCGCGTGTGGGGAGGGTTGGGGGGGGGGGAGGGGCACCTAGGCTAAGGCTCTATGAACTCTTGAGAGAGCACTTCATGAGCACTTCTTGCAGTTGTGGACGGAGCTCACGACGACCAACAGCCATCCCGGGGCGCGGGATGCCTTTGGCTTCACGGCCCACGACTCGGAGGCTTCCGCCTTCCTCTTTGGAGGCCGGGATGCAGCTGGGAATCCTCTTGCAGATATGTGGAAAGTCACCCTCGTTTCCGGGACGGCCCACGTGCATTGGGAGGAGTTCTCGGTTTCGGGCGGGCCGGCGTCCGGAAGGATGGGGTGCACGGCCGAGTGGACGGGCTCTTCGGTGTTGATCCTCGGCGGCTTGGACGGAGGCGCGCCTTCGAGTGAGCTTTGGGAGTTCCTTCCGGACTCCTCCTCCTGGAAGGAGCTCGCCACGAAGCCTACGGGCTTGTCAGGTCACAGCGCCGTCTGGCATGCAGCGGCGAAGACCATGTTCGTCTTCGGTGGAAAGACGGGCGCTGGCAGCACGAATGTGCTGTCCAAGTACGACTACCAGAGTGACACCTGGACGGACCCCTCTGTGAGCAACCCCCCACCGCCCCGGCGAGAGCATGACGCCGTCTTGGCCTTGGACGGGTCGGAGGAGATGCTGGTCTTCGGGGGGACAAGCTCGGAAAGCGCAGCGCCGGGCACGCTGCTGAATGACCTTTGGGCCTTCCTGATCACTGGGAATTCCTGGCGACAGATCACCCAGCAGGGTGCAGTTCCTTCCCAGAGATACTCCCTCTCGGCCGTGTGGGCATCGCCATCCCATGCCATGCTCATGTTCGGAGGCCGGTCAACAGTTCATCTGAACGACTTGCTTGAGTACGACCACGCGTCCTCCACCTGGAGCCTGATTCCTACCTCCGGGCCAGAGCCGCAGCCACGCCGCTTGCACGGAGCGGCGTGGATCTCCCAAGCACAGGCCGCGGTGGAACGAAAGGTCAGTTTGTGCCCAGGCTAAGCCTTAAAGCTTGTTGAGCCAGGCTTTGTCATGTGTTCTGGTACGGCCTTGGTAGGGGTATGTTCGGGCCCTGACAGGTCATGATCGTTTACGGCGGTAGCGATGCCAATCGCCTTCAAGACCTGTGGCAGTACCGACTGCCTTCTGCGCCCTGATGCTGCCCGGCATGCTGCGAGCCGCAGCGCCGGCTCGAACAGTTTTAATAAAGCACTTCTTGTTTTCGGGGACCTCATGTGACCCTCCGGTAGTTCGACGCTCAACTCAAATTCCTTCCCAGATTTTGACTTCAGCCTCTTCGCGGCGAAGCCGGAGGCGATTTAGAACATTTTAGAACATTGGGAGGGCAGCGTGAGGCGCTATGGAATGCCAGAGCAAAAGCGTGCGAGATGAGTGTGCGGTCTGTGTGCGGTCTGCGCGGTGGAGGGGCTGATGCTTCGAGAATCGTCGCGTGCTTGATCGCTGCACATGATCATGCAGTCGCCTTCAGTTGCACGTACATGGCCAAGCTTTTGTGACTTGTGTGGCTTCTTTTGGATTGTTGGTCGTCGCCCTAGAATCTCATGAGCATGGTAATGCCGCATGTGGCAGAAGGCCAAGATGCAAGATACATCAAGTTACACGTAGACGCCATGAAGAGACGCTGCTGGGATGGCTTTGCTGAGTCTTTGCGTATGCGCCCATCTTCTGTAAGAGTTCCCAGGGCGCCCACAGGTTCAGGGGGACCAGAGACTCAACTTCCAAGGAGTCCCCCCCCCAAGAGTGGCTCAGTGTCAACCTTTGGTTATGTGGTGGTTTCATGAAATTCGGGGTACCCTCTTAAAGTCCTTGTGATAAGGGAATCCTACCAAGTCCCACCTCCTGGGGGCCAATTTTTGGGGGCCCCCTATATTCGTCAACCCCCATGTGGAGCCATGCCACCGCACGCCATCCGTTGCCAAGTGAAGCCAGCATTGCTGGGAGAGAAGGGCCTTGCCTCCTGAGTCCTGTAGCTTGTGTAGATTTGTGTAACCCTAAACCCTAAACCCTAAACCCTAAACCCTAAACCCTAAGCCTAAACCCTAAACCCGAAACCCGAAACCCGAAACCCGAAACCCTAAACCCTAAACCCTAAATCACAAACCTGAAGCCGCGGCCCCAAGCCCAAGATCCCACCCCTGCAGGATCGTAGCTGCGTGCGTCTGGTGACCAAAAATCGGAGAGGAGGAACCCCAAATGCTCTGCTCGTTGGGGCAGCTTCGCCAGTCAATGACTGGGTGGTGGCGGGTCACAGGGGGTTTCACGAGGTGGGGAGAGCTCCTCTGGAGGAGAAGCCTCGCGGTGAACAAGACGCCGCCAACCCTAAACCCTGAACCCTAAACCCTAAACCCGAAACCCTAAACCCTAAACCCGAAACCCTGGGACACAACTTTGACCGTCAACGTATGTCAAAGTGTCGCTATGAGTTTTGATCCCGTCGGCCGAAGCAAAATGTTGTCAAGTGATGTATGTTACTGCCTTTATACTAACAGTCCTTAATCGGGATCATAGTACCGTTTTTTGTAATCCCTATTCAGGACTGTTGGATTCAGCGCAGGGCGGAGCTGTTTGGGGTCTTATGCAGTAGCTGTGCCACTACAGTACCAGTGTGCCGGGCATCATGGCAGTGACGTGTGTGGTGCGACAGCCTGTTGATGTACGAGCATTTGGCTTTCAGCTCTGTCAGCTTCCGTGCTCGCCTGCCGCGCTGCCCAGCTTGCCCGCCATGACCTGGGTCTACAACTTCGGTGCTGGCAATGCGGATGGCAGGGCCGAGATGAAGAAACTTGGTCTGCAAGACCTAAGCAGCAGAAACAGCACTCACATGCCGACATGATGACATGCGCATCTTCGTTTCTGCTGCTTCTTTCCCGCTCGGGCCCAGATCGCCCTTGTCCATCGCTTCGCCCTACCTTTCTGAGGAACCTCCTGGGCGGCAAGGGTGCCAATCTCGCTGAGGCCGTGCCGCAATCAGCGTGGGCATGGGCACCACGAGCAAGGAATCATGATATGTCATTGTATCGAGGATATCCCAACGTTGTGACGTGACTGTGATGAACCCGAGCTCGCTAAACCAGAAGTCAGAGAGTAGTGATTGCCAAGCGTCTCGCCAAAAGCAGGCTTAGTGAGAACATTGACCGCCTTACGGTAACCACGCATCCCAAAAACTGTCGCCTGGCCAGCCCCTGCTGCGCCAGATGGCCTCCATTGGGCTTCCTGTTCCGCCTGGCTTCACCCTGACCACGGAGGTCGCCAAGGGAGGTTGGTTTCAGCTTGCATTTGAAGTGGGAGGGCTCTATCGTGTCGAAGGTCTGCACGCACTACTACCAGAATGACTGTGCCTTGACGGTAAACTCAATAAAACGCAGAAGCGATGGCGTTTAACCAGAGAAGCGGCGGGGAGGGGCTGCGTGCACATCGGGTTAGCATAGAGAAGACGAGAGACACTGAGCAGCGATCGAGGTCAGTATCCTGCAGAACTCAAGCAGCAGGTGTCGAAGGCACTAGCTCTGGTTGAGACAAGGCCGGAAAAGGCTTGAGCATGCTTCAGCACTCCCCGATGGCCCAAGCGCACGTGTGCGCACTCACAGACCGCAGGACCGGGCGGAAATTCGGGGACGCCACGAATCCTCTGCTGGTTTCGGTCCGCTCGGGTGCTCGGGCCTCCATGCCTGGCATGATGGACACCGTGCCGTGGCAGCTAAGGGTTGTGTGTGGGCCAGCACCGGAGCCGTTTGTCCAGCAGCACTTCTCCAGGTGCTTAACCTCGGCCTGAACAACACGACTGTGGAGGCGGGGAAAAGTAGCTAGCGATGACCAGTACATGTACGAACGTAGTGTACGGGCTAGCGAATAATAGTAAAATAGCCCGTATTACTAGTATGAATATTGCAATATGGGAGAACGACATGAACGTAACACCCAGATCGAGGATTCGCTTTGTTATTTAGTAAGTGCGCCCCGCTCACTCGTGAACATATTAAATGCACGGGTTTTTCATTCTTATTTCGTTCACACGCGTGCGCTCTTTTATTCCTTTCGCACGCTCATTATGCATTAAATTAAGATATGAAGTGTATTTTAGTGTGTTGCGTTCATATTATTGTTTCGTTTCACGCGTACACTTCGTTCCTTGTAAACTCACAATAATATTCTCTTCACGTTTATTATTATATTATATCCAGGGCAGAACCAGGGAGCTTTCTTTCGGAAACGGGGCTCAGCTTATTCCCGGAAGAGCGATGCAGGCGCTGGCCAAGCAGTCGGGAGACCGGCGCTTTGCATTCGACAGCTACCGGCGCTTCGTCCAGATGTACTCAGGAGGGCGGTGCCACTGAAGGTGTTCATATCAGTGCTGATCAGTGCTGCAGGTTTAAGAAATGAGCGTTCTGTTTCCTCTAGCATGGGTCCCTGAGATGTGGTGCTGGGTATCGAGCTTGGCAACTTCGAGAAGCTTCTGGAGAGGGCCAAGGCCAAGCGAGGCGTCGCTTGGACGAACTATGACGAACTCTCGCGCACGCATGCAAACACGCGCGCGCACGTTGGATGTCGGAGGTGAGCTTGGGTGGAACTGAGGTGAAGCAAGATCACGAGCTCCTGCCAGAAGACCTGGAGCAGTTGGTCAAAAACTACAAGGCCTTGCGCTGCGCTGTGTGACTCCAAAATTCCTGGTCACGCGGTGATCGTGTAAGGCCTGTGTCTACTTGGAGCTCGGGGAGGAGTTCCCCGAGGAGGGAGCGGACAGCGGGCCCTCAACACGATCGATGCAGCCAGTTGACATGCCAAGTCCGATGAAGCAGACGTCCCTTAGATCCGCTTGAATGCTTGCGAGAGTTTGACCGGCTAGGAGCCGCATCAGCAACTCTGGGGTGCCGTGGGCGCCGTCTTTGGCTCCTGGATGAACCAGAGGGCCAAGACCTACCGGAAGCTGCACGACATCCCCGAGGACCCCTTGAGAGGTTTGCGCTTCTTTCGCAGCTCCCGGGCTCTGCCAGATTGCTGTCAGGAGTGGGGCACGGCTGTGAACGTTCAGGCCGCGTCCTTCTCACTTGAAAGGGGGAGTGAGTGGCTTCGCGTCATCCCGGGATCGTTCAGGCGATGGTCTTTGGCAACATGGGCAACGACTGCGCCACGGGAGTCGCCTTCACGCGCAACCCCTCCAACGGTGCCAAGGCCTTTCGGGGGCTTGGTGTAGTTGTCAGAAGCATGTGAAGCATGTGAAACCATGTGTCTTTCAAGGGTTGTTTTTGAGCATCGCCTTGGAGGATTTCTATGGAGAGTTCCTGGTGAATGCTCAGGGCGAGGCCCGGGCCCTCCGCGCATGCGCATGCCTTCCCCGTGCTTGCCCATGCTTGCCCCCGTGAGACTGGGAGCCTTCCCGTGAGAGGATGTCGTGGCGGGCATCCGGACGCCCCAGGAGCTGACGATCAAAGCTCGCAAGTCGCACGGCAGCGACTTGCCATCGCTGGAGGAGGTGATGCCGAGCATATTCCAGGAGTTGGAGAAGGTGCGCCACCAGCTGGAGAACCACTACACGGACATGCAGGACATCGAGCTCCTCGGCTTTTTAGCACATTTTTTGTCAAGTTGAGCGAAGGTGGAGCATCTGCTGTGCGTAGTGGTAAGGTGGATGCACCTTGTTGCAGCTGAGGTTCACCATCCAGCAAGGCAGGATCCCGAGCTGTTTCCGGTTTCCCTCACAGAAGTCGGTTCCTGACATTCGCGAGGCAAGCTGTACATGCTCCAGACCCGCACGGGGAAGCGGACGGCCCACGCAGCCTTGCAGATTGCGGTGGACATGGCCGCCGAAGGGCTGATCAGCAAGTCGCAGGCTCTCATGCGCCTGAAGCCGGATCTCATCGACCAGCTCCTTCACCCCACGCTGGACCCCAAGGCACTGGTGGATGCACTGATGGACCCTAAACCCTAAAACCCTAAAACCCTAAACCCTAAAAACCTAAACCCTAAACCCTCAAATCTAAAACCCTAGACCTTAAAACCTTAAACCCCACACCCTAAAAACCCCAAACCCTAAAACCCAAAACCCTAAACCCTACAGTAAACCCTAAACCCTAAACCCTAAACCCTAAAACCCTAGACCCTAAAACCCCAAAAACCCCAAACCCTAAAGCCCTGAACCCTAACCCCTAAACTCTAAACCCTAAACCCTCAACCCTAAACCCGAAACCCCAAACCTTAAACCCTAAACCTTAAACCCTAAACCCTATAAACTTTAAACCCTAAACCCTAAACCCTAAACCCTAAACCCTAAACCCTAAACCCTAAACCCTAAACCCTAAACTGCCGAGAGCGCCGCTGTCCATTTGCATGGGCACTCGAGGCTTCGACCGAGGTCCCCGACCGAGCGTCTCGTCAGAACGGTGAGGGAGGGTAAAGCCTCCCGGTAGACGGGGCCTGCAGTGGCTGGCTACGCCTCAGACACTTCAGCCCTAATATAATTAGGACCCCAAACCTCCCACCATTGAGGTGTTTTTGGTTTTTTTGGGGTCGGGGGGGGTACCCCCCGGGGGTCTGGGGCCCGGGCTGGCAGATTCCGGGGACCCGCCCTGCCGCAGCCCCTGAAACCTGCTGCGAGGGCCCCCCTGAGATCTCCTGGGACCCTTCTGAGGACCCCCCGGCACCTTGGCCTCCTGCGACCGCTTGCGAGGACCCCTAGCTGTCCTGCTAATCCCTACCGTTTTCGAGATCCAGGATTTGCCCAGGCCGGCCCCTGCTACCTCCTACCTCTTTGCTGCTCTGTTGGCTACATGAAGCCCCGAGATCCAGGATTTGCCCAGACCCGCAATGAAAATGTGGGTTGTTTAGTATTGCAAATCGACGGTTTTGGGCACCCTTCATTTTAAAACAAATCTCCACGCCCGGCAACGTCGCAGGAAAGCTTCGACGTGTGCGGCTGTGGCTGTTCATGGTAGGAAAGAACGTCGCTTCCAGAAGTTTTCTACGAACCTGCTCGGCGTCGTGCTCGGACATGGGCTAGCGCCTTGGGCACCAAACAGGCGGACCGTGATGTTGATGGTGCTTGGGTCTACCTTTCCAACGTTGCTTGGACTGTGTTGTGAGATGGTGGGGCCACCAAAGGTGTCCTTCGTTCTCCAGCCTGGCGTCCTCGGAAGGAATGTCACAGGAGTAAGGCGGCTAAGCGCCTTGAGGGTGTTGGTCTGGTCAGGTTGCGTTGTCCTGATCAGCTCGCTCGACAGCCACATGATCCCAGATTGCGTGATAAGATTGATTGCGCAACCCAGGGACTCGTTGACTCCTTCGATTGGTTGAATGAGCTGCGCCACTACTTCACCATGGAGCAGCAATGCAAATGGCCTCGGGAGCACCGCGTCCAGGAGGTTGCAAGTCAGGAGCGTGCTCAGGCATTGAAGAGTTGGCGCTCTACCGTGCGTGATTCTGTGCGGAAGCAGTCCAATTGGGTCAAGAGGCGAGCTGCGTTGAAGTGTGACCTGGTGTCTCCGAAGATCTCTGATTGCGCCGTCCTTAGTCGCAGGGCGGTGCGCCCTGTGGAGATGATCCGTCAGGCTGAGGCAACTTGGATTCTCTGATCGTCTACTACGTGCTGCTCGCAAGATGCGTGCGCGTGCAGCCAGATGGTTGAGGTTGAGCGCTTCCTTGCCTTACCTGCCCCATTCTGGCAGGCACTCAGTGATCTATGTACGGTGCCGAGCTTATCAGGTGGCCTCCTCCCATGCAGATGGCGCGAGGCGCGTGTGGCCTTAGTTGTTCACGGCTCACTACGCCTTTGAGGGTGCCAATGCTCGGCTGACTTACGTTCGAGTCGTGGCGGAGTGGTCCTCCTCACCAGGCCTTCCATATACGATCACTGGTGTTGCCTATAATGTCCTGGGCTGGGGCTGTGGTCAGCGTTGAGCATACCCAGGTCTGCGAAGCTGGAGTGGTGCTGATTGCCAAGCACTCTGGCGGCCAGCGCCCACTTTGTGTTGCAGCTAAGAGACTTGGTTAGGCCACCGCCTGCTGGGCGGCGTGCTGGAACATAGCGTCCTGCGCACACTTATGCGACTGATATCGGTGCGCCGGTCTTCGTGGCTGAGGGTCTGTCCCGATTTCAATTACGATTCAATCCGAGCGGAAAAAGCGTGCAGTGTTGCGACGCTTCAAGGCCCCAACTTCATCAAAGTCGGTGCGACGTTTCGACTCGTCCTGCCCTTGCAGCAGTAAAAGCATCTTATAACGGATCGGGGGTCTACGCGAGCCAGTGGCCGGCCGTCTTCAAGGGAGTACTGCAAGGATGCCCCGCGTCCCATTATACGAAGACTCGGACGAGCACGTGTGTTTTGATGCAATTGGTGCTGATTTATTCGTTGATGATCGGCCCGCCGTCCTGTTGACCTTATGCAAAGACTGTATTCCAGCCTCTGTTTCAAGCTCGGTAAACTAGGATCGCTTGCCAGGACAAGTTTGAAAGGGTCCGAATTCAGAATCCACATGTTGTCCAAAAGTTCTATAATGTTTGACGTCAGAGAGCTGGATTTGATAAAATCGTCATTTTGATTTCTGGCGGGGAGTTTTCCATTTTTTTTGGGGTCGGGTTGTCTTGGGCCGCGGTCGCAGCTCGCTATGCCGGCTTCAACGGTTGACGATGGAAGTCGTGGGACACGGCATCTTCGGATGCTACCCCTCTCCACATTGAACACTCATCATCATGATCATCATCATCATCGTCATCATCATCATCATCATCATCATCAGCATCAGCGTCAGCGTCAGCATCAGCATCAGCATCAGCATCATCATCATCATCATCATCATCGTCATCATCAGCATCAGCATCATCATCATCATCATCATCATCATCATCATCATCATCATCATCATCATCAGCGACGCAATCGTAGATTCAGGCCAAGAATCCCTAGACCCCTGACCACCAGAACTACCCAAACAGAACCATCGGCATCATGGCGCTTCAACCAACAAACAAGAAAGAACTGGACCGCAAGGCCAAGAAGACCGTCATTGCCAAGGGCCTGCCAGCCTCGCCAGGGGCGGCTGCCGGCAAGGTGGTTTTCACGGCCGACGAGGCGGTGACTCGCTCGGAGAACGGAGAGAAGGTGATCTTGGTGCGGGTCGAAACGAGCCCAGACGACATCCATGGACTGCATGCGGCAGAGGGCGTTTTGACTTTTGGCCTGCATCAGACATGACCTGCTCTCTTTGATGGGTGAAACATGTTTTGAGAGCTAGATAAAGGTGGAGTCAGCAGAGGAAGCGGTTTAAAGATCTTGCACCGCCAAACGTGATTGCATGATTGCACAATGATGTGCCAACAGCTCGAGGACAACTCGCGGCGGCATGACCAGCCACGCAGCCGTGGTGGCGCGCGGCATGGGCAGACCTTGCGTGGCAGGCGCCGGGGAGGTGAAGGTCAACTACGCCTCGGCCTCCTTCGAGGTGGGCGACGTGGTCGTCAAGGAGGGCCAGCTGGTCACCATTGACGGCGTCACAGGAGAGGTGATGCTTGGAGAAGTCCCCACGGTGCCGCCGCAGCTTTCCGGCTCCTTCGGCACCATCATGGCTTGGGCAGACGAGTTCCGCACCATGCAGGTCAGGGCCAATGCCGAAACGCCGACAGACGCGCGGCAGGCCCATGGGGGATCCGAGGGCGAAAAGCTTGCGTCATGCCATACCCTTCTTTCGGAATTTGCCCCTCATCCTTGTTTTTGGTCTCGAAAATCTATAGGCCTCTAGATTCTAGGCACCTCGGCGCCAGTGCCCCGGTGTTCCCTGCAACGCGAATCAAACGCGAGGCCAAGGAGTTCGGGTGCGAAGGGATTGGCCTCGTGCGCACGGAGCACATGTTCTTCGAGGGGGGCCGGATCGTGGCACCTGGGCTGCCAGTTCCGTCGTGCCCTGCTGATGTGCGCTGCTGATTCTTTCGCTGCTTTTGTCGCTCCTGTGTAGACTCGCAGAATGCTGTCTGAGGCCATGCGGCAGATGATCTTGGCCGCGGACAAGGCGGAGCGCCAGTCGGCTTTGAACAAGCTCCTGGCGATGCAGCGCGAAGACATCACCGAGCTCTTCAAGATTATGGACGGCCTTCCGGTGACGGTCCGTTTGCTGGACCCTCCCTTGCATGAGCTCCTCAGTCTTCACACATCATCCCTGGGCACTGGCACTGTGTAAGCGCAAGCCCGCCTTTGAAAGCTTCATAAGCCACCCTGTGTGTGCACTGAAGTGATGTCGTTGAGCTAAGGTTCATCCCGCACACCGAAGCCGAGATGGGCCTTGTGGCAAAAGCAGCCGGGGTGCCTTTGGATCGCGTGCGCCGGCGCGCGAGCGAGCTGCAAGAGGCCAACCCCATGCTCGGGCACAGAGGCTGCCGCCTGGCCATCACGTATCCGGAGATCTGCGAAATGCAAGCTCGGGCCATCTTCGAGGCGGCCGCGGAGGTCGGGCGCAGCGCCAAGAAGACCCCGGTGGCCGAGGTCATGGTGCCCCTGGTCTCCACTCTGGAGGAGCTGGTGCAGCTGAAGAAGGTCATCGAAGACACTGCCAAGCAGGTGCAGAAGGAGCAGGGCGTGAACTTCAGGTATCACGTCGGAACCATGGTGGAGCTGCCCCGCGCAGCACTGCAGGCTGGCAAATTGGCAGAGCAGGCGGAGTTCTTCAGTTTTGGCACCAATGATCTGACCCAGACCACGTATGGCTTGAGTCGTGATGATGCCGGGTCCTTCCTGCCTGAGTACAAAGCGAAAGGTGGGACATGATTAACAAACAGTTTCTTTCAGAGTGGCAGAGGCTTAGTAGTAGAGTAGGTAACCTTTAACCTTTTTGGGTTAGTAGATTCCCCTTAGAATCCCAAAGGTTAACCTTTAAAACCCCTAGGTACTGGACAACTAAGGAGGGCCTTATAGCCTTATACTTTAAGAGTAGCACCGGGCAGTGGCCCGAGAGGGAAGAGACGAGACGGTTGTTGGAAACGTCATATTTAAACATTTTCAACGCTTTCGCAGGCATCGTGGAAACGGACCCATTCGTGAGCTTGGACCAGGAGGGCGTTGGCGAGCTGATCAAGATTGCGGTGGAGCGGGGCCGCGGAAAGCGCGCTGGCATGAAGATGGGCATCTGCGGCGAGCACGGCGGTGATCCAGCTTCCATTGAGTTCTGTGAGAAGACGGGCTTGGACTACGTCTCGTGCTCCCCCTTCCGTGTGCCCATTGCCCGCCTCGCTGCCGCGCAGGCTGCCTTGAAATCGCAGGGCGAGAAGGCTCTCCAAGCTTCCACGAAGGCTGCCAAGCCCAGGCAGCAACAGTTTGGCCCCTGGTGAGCTTTGATGAGGCCTCTCTTACCCTTCACGCCGCTTAAAATGGCGTTTTATCCTTTGAAGATTGTATATGGCATCTTTTGAATGCACTGAATGCACTGCGCCGACAGGTGCTAAATGCATGGGAGTTGCGATGGTCAGTTTCGATTGCAGTAGATATCTGCAAGGCAGCTGGCTTCCCAAGCACGCTTTTAATTCCTGACGCCCTCCTTGGCTGGAGCTGATGACAATCCACCCGGCTTGGGAGCCCCGTGCGTCGTAGCCATGGAAGCTGCCCAGCTGTGCAGGAAGTGGCAGCAGCTTGGCGTTGAAAGTTTAAGTCTTTGAAATCGACTCGACAGACGGTGCAGCGTGCACAAGAAAATCGGCTTTTGCGGACTTCATGTCGTTCAGCCTCTCTCCTTGGCCTTCCTCATCCATCGACTCGCAGCGCCGCAGCGCTTGCTTTTGATAGCCTTTGGCCCTTTCTTTCCGGGGAAGGAGCGTATCCAACTAGCAACCTGTCTTCCCATATTCCCGAGGGGGAAAGGAACATGTCCAACTAGCAACTTGCTTTTCCATATTCGAGAAATGGGGAAGGAGGGTATCCAATCAACCAGAGGGGGGAGGAGCATGTCCCATTCCCGTTTATTTCCTGTTTCCGCAACTGTCCTGTTGATGTACGAGCATTTGGCTTTCAGCTCTGTCAGCTTTCGTGCTCGCGTACCGCGCTGCTTGCCCGCCATGACCTGGGTCTACAACTTCGGTGCTGGCAACGCGGATGGCAGAGCCGAGATGAAGAAACTTGGTCTGCAAGACCTAAGCAGCAGAAACAGCACTCACATGCAGGGCCCGATGGGTTTCTGGGATGCGGAAGTTCTCCATGTCTGGTAGAGGTGAAGCTCCCATGATACATGCGCATCTTCTAGCCGTTTCTTTCCCGTCGGCCCCGATCGCCCTTCGCTTCCCCTGACCTTTCTGAGGAACCTCCTGGGCGGCAAGGGTGCCAATCTCGCTGAGGCTGTGCATATATCTGTGCATGGCTGTGTTGCAATCAGTGTCGGTGGTGCCACGAGCATGGAATCAGTGTATATCATTGTATCTACAGCGTGAGCCTGCATGGATATCCCATAGCCCTTGTGATGAACCCGAGCCCGCTAAACCAGAAGAAGGCAGAGGGCAGTGTCTGCCAAGCTTCTCGCCAAAAGCAAGCCCAGTGAGCACAGTGACCGCCTTACGGTAACCACGCGTCCCAAAACTGTCGCAGCCAGCCCCTGCTGCGCCAGATGGCCTCCATTGGGCTTCCTGTTCCGCCTGGCTTCACCCTGACCACGGAGGCCGCCAAGGGAGCTTGGTCTCAGCTTGCATTTGAAGTGGGAGTGCTCTATCGTGTCGAAGGTCTGCACGCACTACTACCAGAATGGCTGTGCCTTGACTGTAAACTCATCGAGAAGAGCAGAAGCGACGGCGTTCAGCCAGAGAAGCGGTAGGGAAAGGCAGGGTGCACATCGGGTTAGCATAGAGAAGACGAGAGACACTGAGCAGCGATCGAGGTCAGTATCCTGCAGAACTCAAGGAGCAGGTGTCGAAGGCATTAGCTCTGGTTGAGACAAGGCCGGAGAAGGCTTGAGCATGCTTCAGCACTCCCCGATGGCCCAAGCGCACGCGTGCGCACTCACGCGACCGCAGGACCGGGCGGAAATTCGGGGACGCCACGAATCCCCTGCTGGTTTCCGTCCGCTCTGGTGCTCGGGCCTCCATGCCTGGCATGATGGACACCGTGGCTTGGCGGCTTAGTAGGCTTGTGGACCAGCAGCGGAGCCGTTTGTCCAGCAGCACTTCTCCAGGTGCTTAACCTCGGCCTGAACAACACGACTGTGGAGGCGGGGAAAAGTAGCTAGCGAAAAAGGCAGAACAAGGGAGCTTTCTTTCGGAAACGGGGCTCAGCTTATTCCCGGAAGAGCGATGCAGGCGCTGGCCAAGCAGTCGGGAGACCGGCGCTTTGCATTCGACAGCTACCGGCGCTTCGTCCAGATGTACTCAGGAGGGCAGTGCCACTTCCGGTGTTCATGCCAGTGCTGATCAGTGCTGCATGTTGAAGAAATGAGCGTTCTGTTTCCTCTGAGTATGGGTCCCTGAGATGTGGTGCTCGGTATCGAGCTTGGCAATTTTGAGAAGCTTCTGGAGAGGGCCAAGGCCAAGCGAGGCGTCGCTCGGAAGAACTATGAAGAACTCTCGCGCGCACATGCAAACACGCGCGCAGGCTTTAGATGTCGGAGGTGAGCTTGGGTGGAACTGAGGTGAAGCAAGATCACGAGCTCCTGCCAGAAGACCTGGAGCAGTTGGTCAAAAACTACAAGGCCTTGCGCTGTGCTGTGTGACTCCAAAGTTTCTGGATCACGCGGTGATCGTGTTAAGGCCTGTGTCTACTTGGAGCTCGGGGAGGAGTTCCCCGAGGAGAGAGCGGACAGGGGGCCCTCAACACGATCGATGCAGCAAGTTGACATGCCAAGTCCGATGAAGCAGACGTCCATTAGGTCCGCTTGCAAGACACGGAATGTCGCGAAATGCTTGCGAGAGTTTGACCGGCTAGGAGCCGCATCAGCAACTCTGGGGTGCCGTGGGCGCCGTCTTTGGCTCCTGGATGAACCAGAGGGCCAAGACCTACCGGAAGCTGCACGACATCCCCGAGGAGCCCTTGAGAGGTTTGCGCTTCTTTCGCAGCCCCTCCCAGGGCCAGATTGCTGTCAGGAGTGGGGCACGGCTGTGAACGTTCAGGCCGCGTGCTTCTCACTTCAGAGGGCGAGCGGCTTCGCGTCATCCTGGGAACGTTCAGGCGATGGTCTTTGGCAACATGGGCAACGACTGCGCCACGGGAGTCGCCTTCACGCGCAACCCCTCCAACGGTGCCAAGGCCTTTCGGGGGTTGGTGTAGTTAGTTGTCAAGCGAGATTGAGCGAGTGAAGCACGTGAAGCGCTGTGTCTCTGAAAGCTTGTTATAGCATCGCCTTGGAGGATTTCTATGGAGAGTTCCTGGTGAATGCTCAGGGCGAGGCCCGGGCCCTCCGCGCATGCCTTCCCCGTGCTTGCCCGTGCTTGCCCCCGTGAGACCGGGGCCTTCCCGTGAGAGGATGTCGTGGCGGGCATCCGGACGCCCCAGGAGCTGACGATCAAAGCTCGCAAGTCGCACGGCAGCGACTTGCCATCGCTGGAGGAGGTGATGCCGAGCATATTCCAAGAGTTGGAGAAGGTGCGCCACCAGCTGGAGAACCATTACACGGACATGCAGGACATCGAGCTTCTCGGCTCTGAGCAAATTTTGGTCAAGTTGAGCGAAGGTGGAGCATCTGCTGTGCGTAGTGGTAAGGTGGACGCACGTTGTTGCAGCTGAGGTTCACCATCCAGCAAGGCAGGATCCCGAGCTGTTTCCGGTTTCCCTCACAGAGTTGGTTCCTGAAGTTCGCGAGGCAAGCTGTACATGCTCCAGACCCGCACGGGGAAGCGGACGGCCCACGCAGCCTTGCAGATTGCGGTGGACATGGCCGCCGAAGGGCTGATCAGCAAGTCGCAGGCTCTCATGCGCCTGAAGCCGGATCTCATCGACCAGCTCCTTCACCCCACGCTGGACCCCAAGGCACTGGTGGATCCACTGATGGATGCCCCAAAGCATCCCCAAAGCATCCCGAAGGGCCGGAACCTGCAGGCGAAGACCTGACACAATCGTGGGACTCAGACCGCGAAACCCCTCAACCGCCTAGACTAAACCCCTAGCCACCCAAAAACCAGAACCATGGGCATCGTGGCACTTCACCCAAGCAAACAGAAAGAAGAGCTGGACCGCAAGGCCAAGAAGACCGTCATTGCCAAGGGCCTGCCAGCTTCGCCAGGGGCGGCTGCCGGCAAGGTGGTTTTCACGGCCGACGAGGCGGTGACTCGCTCGGAGAACGGAGAGAAGGTGATCTTGGTGCGGGTCGAAACGAGCCCAGACGACATCCATGGACTGCATGCGGCAGAGGGCGTTTTGACTCCTGGCCTGCATCAGACATGACCTTCTCTCTTGATGGACACGATTTGCTCTAGATAAAGCGGAATCAGCAGGGAAAGTCATTGTGCCAACAGCTCGAGGACAACTCGCGGCGGCATGACCAGCCACGCAGCCGTGGTGGCGCGCGGCATGGGCAGACCTTGCGTGGCAGGCGCCGGGGAGGTGAAGGTCAACTACGCCTCGGCCTCCTTCGAGGTGGGCGACGTGGTCGTCAAGGAGGGCCAGCTGGTCACCATTGACGGCGTCACGGGAGAGGTGATGCTTGGAGAAGTCCCCACGGTGCCGCCGCAGCTTTCCGGCTCCTTCGGCACCATCATGGCCTGGGCAGACGAGTTCCGCACCATGCAGGTCAGGGCCAATGCCGAAACGCCGACAGACGCGCGGCAGGCCGAAGGGGATCTGAGGTGGAAAAGCTTCCGTCATCCCATACCATCTCTCACCCCTTTTTCGGAATTTACAGGCCTCTAGGCACCTCGGCGCCACTGCCCCGGTGTTTCCCTGCAACCTGAATCAAACGCGAGGCCAAGGAGTTCGGGTGCGAAGGGATTGGGCTCGTGCGCACGGAGCACATGTTCTTCGAGGGGGGCCGGATCGTGGCACCTGGGCTGCCAGTTCCGTCGTGCTGCGCTGGCTTGCGCTGCTGATTCTTTCGCTGCTTTTGTCGCTCCTGTGTAGACTCGCAGAATGCTGTCTGAGGCCATGCGGCAGATGATCTTGGCCGCGGACAAGGCGGAGCGACAGTCGGCTTTGAACAAGCTCCTGGCGATGCAGCGCGAAGACATCACCGAGCTCTTCAAGATTATGGACGGCCTTCCGGTGACGGTCCGTTTGCTGGACCCTCCCTTGCATGAGCTCCTCAGTCTTCACACATCATCCCTGGGCACTGGCACTGTGTAAGCGCAAGCCCGCCTTTGAAAGCTTCATAAGCCACCCTGTGTGTGCACTAGTGATGTCGTTGAGCTAAGGTTCATCCCGCACACCGAAGCCGAGATGGGCCTTGTGGCAAAAGCAGCCGGGGTGCCTTTGGATCGCGTGCGCCGGCGCGCGAGCGAGCTGCAAGAGGCCAACCCCATGCTCGGGCACAGAGGCTGCCGCCTGGCCATCACGTATCCGGAGATCTGCGAAATGCAAGCTCGGGCCATCTTCGAGGCGGCCGCGGAGGTCGGGCGCAGCGCCAAGAAGACCCCGGTGGCCGAGGTCATGGTGCCCCTGGTCTCCACTCTGGAGGAGCTGGTGCAGCTGAAGAAGGTCATCGAAGACACTGCCAAGCAGGTGCAGAAGGAGCAGGGCGTGAACTTCAGGTATCACGTCGGAACCATGGTGGAGCTGCCCCGCGCAGCACTGCAGGCTGGCAAATTGGCAGAGCAAGCGGAGTTCTTCAGTTTTGGCACCAATGATCTGACCCAGACCACGTATGGCTTGAGTCGTGATGATGCCGGGTCCTTCCTGCCTGAGTACAAAGCGAAAGGTGGGACATGATTAACAAACAGTTTCTTTCAGAGTGGCAGAGGGCCTTATATCCTTATACTTTAAGAGTAGCACCGGGCAGTGGCCTACGAGAAGGAAGAGACATTAGCGATACGGTTGTTGCAAACGTCATATGTAAACGCTTTCGCAGGCATCGTGGAAACGGACCCATTCGTGAGCCTGGACCAGGAGGGCGTTGGCGAGCTGATCAAGATTGCGGTGGAGCGGGGCCGCGGAAAGCGCGCTGGCATGAAGATGGGCATCTGCGGCGAGCACGGCGGTGATCCAGCTTCCATTGAGTTCTGCGAGAAGACGGGCTTGGACTACGTCTCGTGCTCGCCCTTCCGTGTGCCCATTGCTCGCCTCGCTGCCGCGCAGGCTGCCTTGAAATCGCAGGGCGAGAAGGCTCTCCAAGCTTCCACGAAGGCTGCCAAGCCCAGGCAGCAACAGTTTGGCCCCTGGTGAGCTTTGATGAGGCCTCTTCTACCTTCACGCCACTTACAATGGCGTTTTATCCTTTGAAGATTGTATATGGCATCTTTTGGATGCACTGCATGCACTGCGCCGACAGGTGCTAAATGCATGGGATTTGCGATGGTCAGTTTCGATTGCAGTAGATATCTGCAAGGCAGCTGGCTTCCCAAGCACGCTTTTAATTCCTGACGCCCTCCTTGGCTGGAGCTGATGACAATCCATCCGGCTTGGGAGCCCCGTGCGTCGTAGCCATGGAAGCTGCCCAGCTGTGCAGGAAGTGGCAGCAGCTTGGCGTTTAAGTCTTTGAAATCGATCCGACAGACGGTGCAGCGTGCACAAGAAAATCCGGCTTTTGCGGACTTCATGTCGTGCAGCCTCTCTCCTCTCCCTGGCCTTCCTCATCCATCGACTCGCAGCGCCGCAGCGCTTGCTTTTGATAGCCTTTGGCCCTTTCTTGCCGGGGAAGGAGCGTATCCAACTAGCAACCTGTCTTCCCATATTCCGGAGGGGGAAAGGAACATGTCCAACTAGCAACTTGCTTTTCCATATTCGAGAAATGGGGAAGGAGCGTATCCAATCAACCAGAGGGGGGAGGAGCATGCCCATTCCCGTTTGTTTCCTGTTTCCGCAACTGTCCTGTTAATGTACGAGCATTTGGCTTTCAGCTCTGTCCGCTTCCGTGCTCGCGTGCCGCTGCGCTGCTTATCCGCCATGACCTGGGTCTACAACTTCGGTGCTGGCAACGCGGATGGCAGGGCCGAGATGAAGAAACTTGGTCTGCAAGACCTAAGCAGCAGAAACAGCACACACATGCCGACATGATGACATGCGCATCTTCGTCTAGCCGTCTAGCCGCTTCTTTCCCGTCGGCCCCAGATCGCCCTTGTCCATCGCTTCCCCTGACCTTTCTGAGGAACCTCCTGGGCGGCAAGGGTGCCAATCTCGCTGAGGCCGTGCATATATCTGTGCATGGCTGTGTTGCAATCAGTGTCGGTGGCGCCACGAGCAAGGAATCAGTGTATATCATTGTATCTACAGCGTGAGCTTGCACGGATATCCCATAGCCCTTGTGATGAACCCGAGCTCGCTAAACCAGACGTCAGAGAGTAGTGATTGCCAAGCGTCTCGCCAAAAGCAAGCCCAGTGAGAACAGTGACCGCCTTACGGTGACCACGCATCCCAAAACCTGCCGCAGAGCTAGCCCCTGCTGCGCCAGATGGCCTCCATTGGGCTTCCTGTTCCGCCTGGCTTCACCCTGACCACGGAGGCCGGCAAGGGAGGTTGGTTTCAGCCTGCATCTGAAGTGGGAGTGCTCTATCGTTGTCGAAGGTCTGCACGCACTACTACCAGAATGGCTGTGCCTTGACTGTAAACTCATCGAGAAAGGCAGAAGCGACGGCGTTCAACCAGAGAAGCGGCGGGGAAGGGCAGCGTGCACATCGGGTTAGCATAGAGAAGACGAGAGATGCTGAGCAGCGATCGAGGTCAGTATCCTGCAGACCTCAAGGAGCAGGTGTCGAAGGCATTGGCCCTGGTTGAGACAAGGCCGGAGAAGGTTTGAGCATGGCCCTACAAAAGTGCACGCGTGTGCACGCGTGCTACTGCAGGACCGGGCGGAAATTCGGGGACGCCACGAATCCCCTGCTGGTTTCGGTCCGCTCGGGTGCTCGGGCCTCCATGCCTGGCATGATGGACACCGTGCCTTGGCGGCTTAGGGTTGTGGACCAGCAGGGGAGCCATGTGAGCCATGTCCAGCAGCACTTCTCCAGGTGCTTAACCTCGGCCTGAACAACACGACTGCAGAGGCGGGGAAACGTAGCTAGCAAACGTAGCTAGCGATAAAGGCAGAACATGAAGCTTTTGGGGTATTAAGTGCCTGGAAATGCCTGGAATGAGAGTGCCCAGAAAAACAGAGCGCATCTCATTTCCCAAGCTTTTTTTGTGGGGTCACCTCTGCCTCCGCCTTCTTCGGAACTTTCGGAAACGGGGCTCGGCTCATTCCCGGAAGAGCGATGCAGGCGCTGGCCAAGCAGTCGGGAGACCGGCGCTTTGCATTCGACAGCTACCGGCGCTTCGTCCAGATGTACTCAGGAGGGCAGTGCCACTGCCGGTGTTCATATCAGCGCTGATCAGTGCTGCATGTTGAATGAAGTGAGCGTTCTGTTTTTTTTCTGAGCATGGGTCCCTGAGATGTGGTGCTGGGTATCGAGCTTGGCAACTTCGAGAAGCTTCTGGAGAGGGCCAAGGCCAAGCGAGGCGTCGCTCGGAAGAACTCTCGCGAACACGCATGCATACGCGCGCACACTTTGGATATTCGGAGGTGAGCTTGGACAGAACTGAGGTGAAGCAAGATCACGAGCTCCTGCCAGAAGACCTGGAGCAGTTGGTGAAAGACTACAAGGCCTTGTGCGCAGGCTGTGCTGTGTGACTCGAAGCCTCTGGATCAAGCAGTGATCATGTAAGGCCTGTGTCTACTTGGAGCTTGGGGAGGAGTTCCCCGAGGAGAGAGCGGATAGCGGGCAATCAACACGACGACTGCAGCAAGTTGACGTGCCAAGTCCGATGAAGCAGACGTCCCTTAGGTTCGCTTGCAACACACGGAATGTCGCGGAATGCTTGCGAGAGCTTGACCGGCTAGGAGCCGCATCAGCAACTCTGGGGTGCCGTGGGCGCCGTCTTTGGTTCCTGGATGAACCAGAGGGCCAAGACGTACCGGAAGCTGCACGACATCCCCGAGGACCCCTTGAGAGGTTTGCGCTACTTTCGCAGCCCCTCCCGAACCCCAGCCCGATTGCTGTCAGGAGTGGGGCACGGCTGTGAACGTTCAGGCCCGTCCTTCTCACTTGAAAGGGCGAGCGAGCGGCTTCGCGTCATCCTGGGACCGTTCAGGCGATGGTCTTTGGCAACATGGGCAACGACTGCGCCACGGGAGTCGCCTTCACGCGCAACCCCTCCAACGGTGCCAAGGCCTTTCGGGGGTTGGTGTAGTTAGTTGTCAAGCGAGATTGAGCGAGTGAAGCACGTGAAGCGCTGTGTCTCTGAAAGCTTGTTATAGCATCGCCTTGGAGGATTTCTATGGAGAGTTCCTGGTGAATGCTCAGGGCGAGGCCCGGGCCCTCCGCGCATGCCTTCCCCGTGCTTGCCCGTGCTTGCCCCCGTGAGACCGGGGCCTTCCCGTGAGAGGATGTCGTGGCGGGCATCCGGACGCCCCAGGAGCTGACGATCAAAGCTCGCAAGTCGCACGGCAGCGACTTGCCATCGCTGGAGGAGGTGATGCCGAGCATATTCCAAGAGTTGGAGAAGGTGCGCCACCAGCTGGAGAACCATTACACGGACATGCAGGACATCGAGCTCCTCGGCTCTGAGCAAGTGCTTTTTAGCATATTTTTTGTCAAGTTGAGCGAAGGTGGAGCATCTGCTTGCGTAGTGGTAAGGTGGACGCACCTTGCTGCAGCTGAGGTTCACCATCCAGCAAGGCAGGATCCCGAGCTGTTTCCGGTTTCCTGTAGAAGTTGGTTCCTGAAGTTCGCGAGGCAAGCTGTACATGCTCCAGACCCGCACGGGGAAGCGGACGGCCCACGCAGCCTTGCAGATTGCGGTGGACATGGCCGCCGAAGGGCTGATCAGCAAGTCGCAGGCTCTCATGCGCCTGAAGCCGGATCTCATCGACCAGCTCCTTCACCCCACGCTGGACCCCAAGGCACTGATGCGATCCACTGATGGATGCCCCAAAGCATCCCCAAAGCATCCCGAAGGGCCGGAACCTGCAGGCGAAGACCTGACACAATCGTGGGACTCAGACCGCGAAACCCCTCAACCGCCTAGACTAAACCCCTAGCCACCCAAAAACCAGAACCATGGGCATCGTGGCACTTCACCCAAGCAAACAGAAAGAAGAGCTGGACCGCAAGGCCAAGAAGACCGTCATTGCCAAGGGCCTGCCAGCTTCGCCAGGGGCGGCTGCCGGCAAGGTGGTTTTCACGGCCGACGAGGCGGTGACTCGCTCGGAGAACGGAGAGAAGGTGATCTTGGTGCGGGTCGAAACGAGCCCAGACGACATCCATGGACTGCATGCGGCAGAGGGCGTTTTGACTCCTGGCCTGCATCAGACATGACCTTCTCTCTTGATGGACACGATTTGCTCTAGATAAAGCGGAATCAGCAGGGAAAGTCATTGTGCCAACAGCTCGAGGACAACTCGCGGCGGCATGACCAGCCACGCAGCCGTGGTGGCGCGCGGCATGGGCAGACCTTGCGTGGCAGGCGCCGGGGAGGTGAAGGTCAACTACGCCTCGGCCTCCTTCGAGGTGGGCGACGTGGTCGTCAAGGAGGGCCAGCTGGTCACCATTGACGGCGTCACGGGAGAGGTGATGCTTGGAGAAGTCCCCACGGTGCCGCCGCAGCTTTCCGGCTCCTTCGGCACCATCATGGCCTGGGCAGACGAGTTCCGCACCATGCAGGTCAGGGCCAATGCCGAAACGCCGACAGACGCGCGGCAGGCCGAAGGGGATCTGAGGTGGAAAAGCTTCCGTCATCCCATACCATCTCTCACCCCTTTTTCGGAATTTACAGGCCTCTAGGCACCTCGGCGCCACTGCCCCGGTGTTTCCCTGCAACCTGAATCAAACGCGAGGCCAAGGAGTTCGGGTGCGAAGGGATTGGGCTCGTGCGCACGGAGCACATGTTCTTCGAGGGGGGCCGGATCGTGGCACCTGGGCTGCCAGTTCCGTCGTGCTGCGCTGGCTTGCGCTGCTGATTCTTTCGCTGCTTTTGTCGCTCCTGTGTAGACTCGCAGAATGCTGTCTGAGGCCATGCGGCAGATGATCTTGGCCGCGGACAAGGCGGAGCGACAGTCGGCTTTGAACAAGCTCCTGGCGATGCAGCGCGAAGACATCACCGAGCTCTTCAAGATTATGGACGGCCTTCCGGTGACGGTCCGTTTGCTGGACCCTCCCTTGCATGAGCTCCTCAGTCTTCACACATCATCCCTGGGCACTGGCACTGTGTAAGCGCAAGCCCGCCTTTGAAAGCTTCATAAGCCACCCTGTGTGTGCACTGAAGTGATGTCGTTGAGCTAAGGTTCATCCCGCACACCGAAGCCGAGATGGGCCTTGTGGCAAAAGCAGCCGGGGTGCCTTTGGATCGCGTGCGCCGGCGCGCGAGCGAGCTGCAAGAGGCCAACCCCATGCTCGGGCACAGAGGCTGCCGCCTGGCCATCACGTATCCGGAGATCTGCGAAATGCAAGCTCGGGCCATCTTCGAGGCGGCCGCGGAGGTCGGGCGCAGCGCCAAGAAGACCCCGGTGGCCGAGGTCATGGTGCCCCTGGTCTCCACTCTGGAGGAGCTGGTGCAGCTGAAGAAGGTCATCGAAGACACTGCCAAGCAGGTGCAGAAGGAGCAGGGCGTGAACTTCAGGTATCACGTCGGAACCATGGTGGAGCTGCCCCGCGCAGCACTGCAGGCTGGCAAATTGGCAGAGCAAGCGGAGTTCTTCAGTTTTGGCACCAATGATCTGACCCAGACCACGTATGGCTTGAGTCGTGATGATGCCGGGTCCTTCTTGCCTGAGTACAAAGCGAAAGGTGGGACATGATGAACAAACAGTTTCTTTCAGAGTGGCAGAGGGCCTTATAGCCTTATACTTTAAGAGTAGCACCGGGCAGTGGCCTACGAGAAGGAAGAGACATTAGCGATACGGTTGTTGCAAACGTCATATGTAAACGCTTTCGCAGGCATCGTGGAAACGGACCCATTCGTGAGCCTGGACCAGGAGGGCGTTGGCGAGCTGATCAAGATTGCGGTGGAGCGGGGCCGCGGAAAGCGCGCTGGCATGAAGATGGGCATCTGCGGCGAGCACGGCGGTGATCCAGCTTCCATTGAGTTCTGCGAGAAGACGGGCTTGGACTACGTCTCGTGCTCGCCCTTCCGTGTGCCCATTGCCCGCCTCGCTGCCGCGCAGGCTGCCTTGAAATCGCAGGGCGAGAAGGCTCTCCAAGCTTCCACGAAGGCTGCCAAGCCCAGGCAGCAACAGTTTGGCCCCTGGTGAGCTTTGATGAGGCCTCTTCTACCTTCACGCCACTTAAAATGGCGTTTATCCTTTGAAGATTGTATATGGCATCTTTTGAATGCACTGAATGCACTGCGCCGACAGGTGCTAAATGCATGGGATTTGCGATGGTCAGTTTCGATTGCAGTAGATATCTGCAAGGCAGCTGGCTTCCCAAGTACGCTTTTAATTCCTGACGCCCTCCTTGGCTGGAGCTGATGACAATCCATCCGGCTTGGGAGCCCCGTGCGTCGTAGCCATGGAAGCTGCCCAGCTGTGCAGGAAGTGGCAGCAGCTTGGCGTTTAAGTCTTTGAAATCGACAGACGGTGCAGCGTGCACAAGAAAATCCGGCTTTTGCGGACTTCATGTCGTTCAGGGTCTCTCCTCTCCTTGGCCTTCCTCATCCATCGACTCGCAGCGCTTGCTTTTGATACTTGCCGGGGAAGGAGCGTATCCAACTAGCAACCTGTCTGACCATATTCCGGGGGGGGCGGGGAAAGGACGTGTCCAACTAGCAACTTGCGTTTCCATGTTCGAGAGAAGGGAAGGAGCGTATCCAATCAGCCAGAGGGGGAGCATGAGCTTCGTTTCTGGAGTAGCGGGCCCATTCCCGTTTATTTCCTGTTTCCAATCTTGTCGTGGTGATGTACGAGCATTTGGCTTTCAGCTCTGTCAGCTTCCGTGCTCGCGTGCCGCTGCGCTGCTTATCCGCCATGACCTGGGTCTACAACTTCGGTGCTGGCAACGCGGATGGCAGGGCCGAGATGAAGAAACTTGGTCTGCAAGACCTAAGCAGCAGAAACAGCACACACATGCCGACATGATGACATTCGCATCTTCGTCTAGCCGTCTAGCTGCTTCCTTCCCGTCGGCCCCAGATCGCCCTTGTCCATCGCTTCCCCTGACCTTTCTGAGGAACCTCCTGGGCGGCAAGGGTGCCAATCTCGCTGAGGCCGTGCATACATCTGTGCAATCTGTGTCGGTGGCGCTACGAGCAAGGAATCAGTGTATATCATTGTATCTACAGCGTGAGCTTGCACGGATATCCCATAGCCCTTGTGATGAACCCGAGCTCGCTAAACCAGACGTCAGAGGGCAGTGTCTGCCAAGCTTCTCGCCAAAAGCAAGCCCAGTGAGAACAGTGACCGCCTTACGGAAACCACGCGTCCCAAAACTGTCGCAGCCAGCCCCTGCTGCGCTAGATGGCCTCCATTGGGCTTCCTGTTCCGCCTGGCTTCACCCTGACCACGGAGGCCGGCAAGGGAGGTTGGTTTCAGCCTGCATCTGAAGTGGGAGTGCTCGATCGTTGTCGAAGGTCTGCACGCACTACTACCAGAATGGCTGTGCCTTGACTGTAAACTCATCGAGAAAGGCAGAAGCGACGGCGTTTAACCAGAGAAGCGGCGGGGAAGGGCAGCGTGCACATCGGGTTAGCATAGAGAAGACGAGAGACGCTGAGCAGCGATCGAGGTCAGTATCCTGCAGACCTCAAGGAGCAGGTGTCGAAGGCATTGGCCCTGGTTGAGACAAGGCCGGAGAAGGTTTGAGCATGGCCCTACAAAAGTGCACGCGTGTGCACGCGTGCTACTGCAGGACCGGGCGGAAATTCGGGGACGCCACGAATCCCCTGCTGGTTTCGGTCCGCTCGGGTGCTCGGGCCTCCATGCCTGGCATGATGGACACCGTGCCTTGGCGGCTTAGGGTTGTGGACCAGCAGGGGAGCCATGTGAGCCATGTCCAGCAGCACTTCTCCAGGTGCTTAACCTCGGCCTGAACAACACGACTGCAGAGGCGGGGAAACGTAGCTAGCAAACGTAGCTAGCGATAAAGGCAGAACATGAAGCTTTTGGGGTATTAAGTGCCTGGAAATGCCTGGAATGAGAGTGCCCAGAAAAACAGAGCGCATCTCATTGCCCAAGCTTTTTTTGTGGGGTCACCTCTGCCTCCGCCTTCTTCGGAACTTTCGGAAACGGGGCTCGGCTCATTCCCGGAAGAGCGATGCAGGCGCTGGCCAAGCAGTCGGGAGACCGGCGCTTTGCATTCGACAGCTACCGGCGCTTCGTCCAGATGTACTCAGGAGGGCAGTGCCACTGCCGGTGTTCATATCAGCGCTGATCAGTGCTGCATGTTGAATGAAGTGAGCGTTCTGTTTTTTTTCTGAGCATGGGTCCCCTGAGATGTGGTGCTGGGTATCGAGCTTGGCAACTTCGAGAAGCTTCTGGAGAGGGCCAAGGCCAAGCGAGGCGTCGCTCGGAAGAACTATGAAGAACTCTCGCGAACAGTAACAGGCATGCAAACGCGCGCACACTTTGGATTTCGGAGGTGAGCTTGGACAGAACTGAGGTGAAGCAAGATCACGAGCTCCTGCCAGAAGACCTGGAGCAGTTGGTGAAAGACTACAAGGCCTTGTGCGCAGGCTGTGCTGTGTGACTCGAAGCCTCTGGATCAAGCAGTGATCATGTAAGGCCTGTGTCTACTTGGAGCTTGGGGAGGAGTTCCCCGAGGAGAGAGCGGATAGCGGGCAATCAACACGACGACTGCAGCAAGTTGACGTGCCAAGTCCGATGAAGCAGACGTCCCTTAGGTTCGCTTGCAACACACGGAATGTCGCGGAATGCTTGCGAGAGCTTGACCGGCTAGGAGCCGCATCAGCAACTCTGGGGTGCCGTGGGCGCCGTCTTTGGTTCCTGGATGAACCAGAGGGCCAAGACGTACCGGAAGCTGCACGACATCCCCGAGGACCCCTTGAGAGGTTTGCGCTACTTTCGCAGCCCCTCCCGAACCCCAGCCCGATTGCTGTCAGGAGTGGGGCACGGCTGTGAACGTTCAGGCCCGTCCTTCTCACTTGAAAGGGCGAGCGAGCGGCTTCGCGTCATCCTGGGACCGTTCAGGCGATGGTCTTTGGCAACATGGGCAACGACTGCGCCACGGGAGTCGCCTTCACGCGCAACCCCTCCAACGGCGCCAAGGCCTTTCGGGGGCTTGGTGTAGTTGTCAGAAGCATGTGAAGCATGTGAAGCGGTGTGTCCTTTAAAGCTTGTTACAAGCATCGCCTTGGAGGATTTCTATGGAGAGTTCCTGGTGAATGCTCAGGGCGAGGCCCGGGCCCTCCGCGCATGCGCATGCCTTCCCCGTGCTTGCCCGTGCTTGCCCCCGTGAGACCGGGGCCTTCCCGTGAGAGGATGTCGTGGCGGGCATCCGGACGCCCCAGGAGCTGACGATCAAAGCTCGCAAGTCGCACGGCAGCGACTTGCCATCGCTGGAGGAGGTGATGCCGAGCATATTCCAAGAGTTGGAGAAGGTGCGCCACCAGCTGGAGAACCACTACACGGACATGCAGGACATCGAGCTCCTCGGCTTTTTAGCATATTTTTTGTCAAGTTGAGCGAAGGCGGAGAGGGTCTGCTGTGCGCAGATGGGGCCCCTGTTCTGCAGAAGGTGGACGCACGTTGTTGCAGCTGAGGTTCACCATCCAGCAAGGCAGGATCCCGAGCTGTTTCCGGTTTCCCACAGGGTTGATTCCTGACATCTTTCGCGAGGCAAGCTGTACATGCTCCAGACCCGCACGGGGAAGCGGACGGCCCACGCAGCCTTGCAGATTGCGGTGGACATGGCCGCCGAAGGGCTGATCAGCAAGTCGCAGGCTCTCATGCGCCTGAAGCCGGATCTCATCGACCAGCTCCTTCACCCCACGCTGGACCCCAAGGCACTGATGCAATGCACTGACGGATGCCCCAAAGCATCCCCAAAGCATCCCGAAGGGCCGGAACCTTTAGGAGCAGACCTGACACAATCGTAGGACTCAGACCGCGAAACCCCTCAACCGCCTAGACTAAACCCCTAGCCACCCAAAAACCAGAACCATGGGCATCGTGGCACTTCAACCAAGCAAACAGAAAGAAGAGCTGGACCGCAAGGCCAAGAAGACCGTCATTGCCAAGGGCCTGCCAGCCTCGCCAGGGGCGGCTGCCGGCAAGGTGGTTTTCACGGCCGACGAGGCGGTGACTCGCTCGGAGAACGGAGAGAAGGTGATCTTGGTGCGGGTCGAAACGAGCCCAGACGACATCCATGGACTGCATGCGGCAGAGGGCGTTTTGACTCCTGGCCTCAGACATGACCTGCTCTCTTGATGGCTGACAAATGTTTTGAGAGCTAGATAAAGGTGGAGTCAGCAGAGGAAGCGGTTTAAGGATCTTGCACCACCAAACGTGATTGCACAATGATGTGCCAACAGCTCGAGGACAACTCGCGGCGGCATGACCAGCCACGCAGCCGTGGTGGCGCGCGGCATGGGCAGACCTTGCGTGGCAGGCGCCGGGGAGGTGAAGGTCAACTACGCCTCGGCCTCCTTCGAGGTGGGCGACGTGGTCGTCAAGGAGGGCCAGCTGGTCACCATTGACGGCGTCACGGGAGAGGTGATGCTTGGAGAAGTCCCCACGGTGCCGCCGCAGCTTTCCGGCTCCTTCGGCACCATCATGGCTTGGGCAGACGAGTTCCGCACCATGCAGGTCAGGGCCAATGCCGAAACGCCCACAGACGCGCGGCAGGCCGAAGGGGGATCCGAGGGCGATAAGCTTCCGCCGTCCCATACCATTCCTCACCCTTCTTTCGGAGTTTACCCCTCATCCTTGTTTTTGGTCTCGAGAATCTATAGGCCTCTAGATTCTAGGCACCTCGGCTCCAGTGCCCTGGTGTTCCCTGCAACGCGAATCAAACGCGAGGCCAAGGAGTTCGGGTGCGAAGGGATTGGCCTGGTGCGCACGGAGCACATGTTCTTCGAGGGGGGGCGGATCGTGGCACCTGGGCTGCCAGTTCCGTCGTGCTGCTCTGACTTGCGCTGCTGATTCTTTCGCTGCTTTTGTTGCTGCTTGTAGAAGTCGCAGTGGCTAAGGCCATGCGGCAGATGATCTTGGCCGCGGACAAGGCGGAGCGCCAGTCGGCTTTGAACAAGCTCCTGGCGATGCAGCGCGAAGACATCACCGAGCTCTTCAAGATTATGGACGGCCTTCCGGTGACGGTCCGTTTGCTGGACCCTCCCTTGCATGAGCTCCTCAGTCTTCACACATCATCCCTGGGCACTGGCACTGTGTAAGCGCAAGCCCGCCTTTGAAAGCTTCATAAGTCTTGCAGCTTGCATAAGGTTTCCATACACGACGGAGCGGCGCCACCCTGTGTGTGCACTGAAGTGACGTCGTTGAGCTAAGGTTCATCCCGCACACCGAAGCCGAGATGGGCCTTGTGGCAAAAGCAGCCGGGGTGCCTTTGGATCGCGTGCGCCGGCGCGCGAGCGAGCTGCAAGAGGCCAACCCCATGCTCGGGCACAGAGGTTGCCGCTTGGCCATCACGTATCCGGAGATCTGCGAAATGCAAGCTCGGGCCATCTTCGAGGCGGCCGCGGAGGTCGGGCGCAGCGCGAAGAAGACCCCGGTGGCCGAGGTCATGGTGCCCCTGGTCTCCACTCTGGAGGAGCTGGTGCAGCTGAAGAAGGTCATCGAAGACACTGCCAAGCAGGTGCAGAAGGAGCAGGGCGTGAACTTCAGGTATCACGTCGGAACCATGGTGGAGCTGCCACGCGCAGCACTGCAGGCTGGCAAATTGGCAGAGCAGGCGGAGTTCTTCAGTTTTGGCACCAATGATCTGACCCAGACCACGTATGGCTTGAGTCGTGATGATGCCGGGTCCTTCTTGCCTGAGTACAAAGCGAAAGGTGGGACATGATAAACAAACAGTTTCTTTCAGTGTGGCAGAGGGCCCTATGCTTTAAGAGTAGCACCGGGCAGTGGCCTACGAGAAGGAAGAGACATTAGCGATACGGTTGTTGGAAACGTCATATTTAAACATTTTCAACGCTTTCGCAGGCATCGTGGAAACGGACCCATTCGTGAGCCTGGACCAGGAGGGCGTTGGCGAGCTGATCAAGATTGCGGTGGAGCGGGGCCGCGGAAAGCGCGCTGGCATGAAGATGGGCATCTGCGGCGAGCACGGCGGTGATCCAGCTTCCATTGAGTTCTGCGAGAAGACGGGCTTGGACTACGTCTCTTGCTCGCCCTTCCGTGTGCCCATTGCCCGCCTCGCTGCCGCGCAGGCTGCCTTGAAATCGCAGGGCGAGAAGGCTCTCCAAGCTTCCACGAAGGCTGCCAAGCCCAGGCAGCAACAGTTTGGCCCCTGGTGAGCTTTGATGAGGCCTCTCTTACCTTCACGCCGCTTAAAATGGCGTTTTATCCTTTGAAGATTGTATATGGCATCTTTTGAATGCACTGAATGCACTGCGCCGACAGGTGCTAAATGCATGGGATTTGCGATGGTCAGTTTCGATTGCAGTAGATATCTGCAAGGCAGCTGGCTTCCCAAGTACGCTTTTAATTCCTGACGCCCTCCTTGGCTGGAGCTGATGACAATCCACCCGGCTTGGGAGCCCCGTGCGTCGTAGCCATGGAAGCTGCCCAGCTGTGCAGGAAGTGGCAGCAGCTTGGCGTTGAAAGTTTAAGTCTTTGAAATCGACTCGACAGACGGTGCAGCGTGCCCGAGAAAAAATCCGGCTTTTGCGGACTTCATGTCGTTCAGCCTCTCTCCTCTCCTTGGCCTTCCTCATCCATCGACTCGCAGCGCTTGCTTTTGATACTTGCCGGGGAAGGCAACCTGTCTGACCATATTCCGGGGGTGGGGGGGTGGGGAAAGGAACGTGTCCAACTAGCAACTTGCGTTTCCATGTTCGAGAGAAGGGAAGGAGCGTATCCAATCAGCCAGAGGGGGAGCAGGAGCATGTCCACTCGTATCTGGAGTAGCGGGCCCATTCCTGTTTCCAATGTTGTCGTGGTGATGTACGAGCATTTGGCTTTCAGCTCTGTCAGCTTCCGTGCTCGCGTGCCGCTGCGCTGCTTATCCGCCATGACCTGGGTCTACAACTTCGGTGCTGGCAACGCGGATGGCAGGGCCGAGATGAAGAAACTTGGTCTGCAAGACCTAAGCAGCAGAAACAGCACACACATGCCGACATGATGACATGCGCATCTTCGTCTAGCCGTCTAGCTGCTTCTTTCCCGTCGGCCCCAGATCGCCCTTGTCCATCGCTTCCCCTGACCTTTCTGAGGAACCTCCTGGGCGGCAAGGGTGCCAATCTCGCTGAGGCCGTGCATACATCTGTGCAATCTGTGTCGGTGGCGCTACGAGCAAGGAATCAGTGTATATCATTGTATCTACAGCGTGAGCTTGCACGGATATCCCATAGCCCTTGTGATGAACCCGAGCTCGCTAAACCAGACGTCAGAGGGCAGTGTCTGCCAAGCTTCTCGCCAAAAGCAAGCCCAGTGAGAACAGTGACCGCCTTACGGTAACCACGCGTCCCAAAACTGTCGCAGCCAGCCCCTGCTGCGCCAGATGGCCTCCATTGGGCTTCCTGTTCCGCCTGGCTTCACCCTGACCACGGAGGCCGGCAAGGGAGGTTGGTTTCAGCCTGCATCTGAAGTGGGAGTGCTCTATCGTTGTCGAAGGTCTGCACGCACTACTACCAGAATGGCTGTGCCTTGACTGTAAACTCATCGAGAAAGGCAGAAGCGACGGCGTTTAACCAGAGAAGCGGCGGGGAAGGGCAGCGTGCACATCGGGTTAGCATAGAGAAGACGAGAGACGCTGAGCAGCGATCGAGGTCAGTATCCTGCAGACCTCAAGGAGCAGGTGTCGAAGGCACTAGCTCTGGTTGAGACAAGGCCGGAAAAGGCTTGAGCATGCTTCAGCACTCCCCGATGGCCCAAGCGCACGCGTGCGCACTCACGCGACCGCAGGACCGGGCGGAAATTCGGGGATGCCACGAATCCCCTGCTGGTTTCGGTCCGCTCGGGTGCTCGGGCCTCCATGCCTGGCATGATGGACACCGTGGCTTGGCGGCTTAGGGTTGTGGACCAAGCAGTGGAGCCCCATGGGCTGTTTGTCCAGCAGCACTCCTCCAGGTCACGAAAGCTAGCCCCCGAGGAGCTAGCGGAGTATCTTACTTAAGCGAAGCTTACAACCTGAAGGGTATATAGGGTCCCCGGAGGCTCCGCCACGAAACCCAGCAAACCCGGTCGGTTTCCAAGCGGCGACCACAGGTTTTGGGGAAACGGGCTGGCGTTCATTTCTTTCGTATATGGGTGCAAATGAACGCCGTTTTCTGTGGATCCCAGGCCCTCGAAAACCTTTCCAAGTCTTAAGAAAAGACTCAGAAGCCCTGATGTTGATGTGAGTCTGGCGTCCCTCAAAGCTGGATTGGACAGACTTTCATGATGCTCGCGCATTGCGTACTTGTTCTATGTTGGGTGCCCGACCTGAAGCCGTTGGCTGGTAGGCATGATATTGAAACGCACTAGCCTTCCGATAATGCACTAGCCTTCCAGCCGGGCCCTCAGGGGCTGCGAGGGGCTGCGAGTGGATGCGGTTAGGGTGTCTTTCAGGTTTGAGCAAGAGCGAAAGACGAGGTTTTAACTTTACAATCTCGTCAGCAATAATCTGCAGCCCAAAGCTTATACACTCTACAAACCTTTCTACCCCAATGGTTTCTGCGGCCTGATGAATCTCCTCAATCCCAAGGCCTTGGCGTAGCCTTGTCCTGATGCGTAGTGGATGCCCTGTTGACAGAAACCCTTCCGTGGGGGTACCTTAACTAGCTTTCGTCCCAGGCCCTCACCCTCAAGTGCTTAACCTCGGCCTGAACAACACGACTGCGGAGGCGGGGAAAAGTGGCTAGCGAGAAAGGCAGAACAAGAAGCTTCTTCGGAACTTTCGGAAACGGGGCTCAGCTTATTCCCGGAAGAGCGATGCAGGCGCTGGCCAAGCAGTCGGGAGACCGGCGCTTTGCGTTCGACAGCTACCGGCGCTTCGTCCAGATGTACTCAGGAGGGCAGTGCCACTGCCGGTGTTCATATCAGTGCTGATCAGTGCTGCATGTTGAATGAGATGAGCGTTCTGTTTCCTCTGAGCATGGGTCCCTGAGATGTGGTGCTGGGTATCGAGCTTGGCAATTTTGAGAAGCTTCTGGAGAGGGCCAAGGCCAAGCGAGGCGTCGCTCGGAAGAACTCTCGCGAACAGGCATGCAAACGCGCGCACACTTTGGATTTCGGAGGTGAGCTTGGACAGAACTGAGGTGAAGCAAGATCACGAGCTCCTGCCAGAAGACCTGGAGCAGTTGGTGAAAGACTACAAGGCCTTGTGCGCAGGCTGTGCTGTGTGACTCGAAGCCTCTGGATCAAGCAGTGATCATGTAAGGCCTGTGTCTACTTGGAGCTTGGGGAGGAGTTCCCCGAGGAGAGAGCGGATAGCGGGCCTTCAACACGACGATTGCAGCAAGTTGACATGCCAAGTCCGATGAATCAGACGTCCATTAGGTCCCCTTGCAACACACGGAATGTCGCGGAATGCTTGCGAGAGTTTGACCGGCTAGGAGCCGCATCAGCAACTCTGGGGTGCCGTGGGCGCCGTCTTTGGTTCCTGGATGAACCAGAGGGCCAAGACCTACCGGAAGCTGCACGACATCCCCGAGGACCCCTTGAGAGGTTTGCGCTTCTTTCGCAGCCCCCGGGCCCTGCCCGATTGCTGTCAGGAGTGGGGCACGGCTGTGAACGTTCAGGCTGCGTCCTTCTCACTTGAAAGGGCGAGCGAGCGGCTTCGCGTCACCCTGGGAGCGTTCAGGCGATGGTCTTTGGCAACATGGGCAACGACTGCGCCACGGGAGTCGCCTTCACGCGCAACCCCTCCAACGGTGCCAAGGCCTCTCGGGGGTTGGTGTAGTTAGTTGTCAAGCGAGATTGAGCGAGTGAAGCACGTGAAGCGCTGTGTCTCTGAAAGCTTGTTATAGCATCGCCTTGGAGGATTTCTATGGAGAGTTCCTGGTGAATGCTCAGGGCGAGGCCCGGGCCCTCCGCGCATGCGCGTGCCTTCCCCGTGCTTGCCCGTGCTTGCCCCCGTGAGACCGGGGCCTTCCCGTGAGAGGATGTCGTGGCGGGCATCCGGACGCCCCAGGAGCTGACGATCAAAGCTCGCAAGTCGCACGGCAGCGACTTGCCATCGCTGGAGGAGGTGATGCCGAGCATATTCCAAGAGTTGGAGAAGGTGCGCCACCAGCTGGAGAACCATTACACGGACATGCAGGACATCGAGCTCCTCGGCTCTGAGCAAGTGCTTTTTAGCATATTTTGTGTCAAGTTGAGCGAAGGCGGAGAGGGTCTGCTGTGCGCAGATGGGGTCCCTGTTCTGCAGAAGGTGGACGCACGTTGTTGCAGCTGAGGTTCACCATCCAGCAAGGCAGGATCCCGAGCTGTTTCCGGTTTCCCTCACAGGGTTGGTTCCTGACATCCTTCGCGAGGCAAGCTGTACATGCTCCAGACCCGCACGGGGAAGCGGACGGCCCACGCAGCCTTGCAGATTGCGGTGGACATGGCCGCCGAAGGGCTGATCAGCAAATCGCAGGCTCTCATGCGCCTGAAGCCGGATCTCATCGACCAGCTCCTTCACCCCACGCTGGACCCCAAGGCACTGATGCACTGATGGATGCCCCAAAGCATCCCGAAGGGCCGGAACCTTTAGGAGCAGACCTGACACAATCGTGGGACTCGAAACCCTCAACCGCCTAGGCCTAGACTAAAACCCTAACCACTTAGAAACCGGAACAATCGGCAAACGTGGATGCATTGATGGTCTCTAAACCCTAAACCCTAAAACCCTAAACCCAAAAAAACCCCACACCCTAAAAACCCCAAAACCCTAAAACCCTAAACCCTAAACCGCCCTAAACCGCCCTAAACCACTAAACAACCCTAAACCCTAAACCCTAAACCCTAAACCCTAAAACCCTAAAACCCTAGACCCTAAAAACCTAAACCCCAAACCCTAAAAACTCCAAACCCTAAACCCTAAACCCTAACCCCCAACCCCTAACCCCTAACCCCCTAACCCCTAACCCCTAACCCCTAAACCCTAAACCCGAAACCCTCAGACACGCTTAATAAACTGCAGTACAAAAACCCTCCAAGAAGTCTTCCTCCAGTCCCCAACAGAACCAACCCATAGTGTAGTATTCTGCTCGGCGCATAAGGATAGAATACAGCATAGAAAGGGCATGCAATTTCCATACTGGATTGAAGTAACAAACAAAAGATTCTTCGCAGCAGTGTGGAAGACCGACCACAACGCCCAAAACCCTAATCAGCAATACACCACAATTTACAAGATCCTGGCAGAATCGGCGCCAAAGCGCGCGCAGCAGCCGCGCGCGGGGCACTAGCAAAAAAAAATCCGAAACCCTAAACCCCAAACCCTAAACCCTAAACCTTAAACCCTATACCCTATAAACCCTAAACCCTAAACCCTCAACCCTAAACCCTAAACCTCTCTACCATATAACCCTAAATGTCAAACACGAATTTGGGAATTGATCATTTTTTAAACTTTTTTACCACCCCCATTGTTCAGCACGAATTTTGGAATTTGGTCCATTTTGGCCCCTCTGACCCCCCATTGTTCAGCACAAATTAGGGAATTTGATCCATTTCGCCCCTCTGACCCCTCTGACCCCCCTTTGTTACGAATTTGGGAATTTGATCCATTTCGGCCCCTCTGACCCCTTTGACTGACCCCCCCATTGTTCAGCACGAACTAGGGAATTTGATCCATTTTGGCCTCTCTGACGCCTTTGACCCCCCAGTGTTCAGCACGAATTAGGACGCCTTTGACACCACATTGTTCAGCACGAATTTTCGAAATCTCATCCATTTTGGCACCTTTGACGCCTTGGACCAGCCCCCCCCCCAGTGTTCAACATGAATTAGTTAATTTGGTCGTTTTTGGCTCCTCTGACCCCGCTATTGTTCAGCACGAATGGAAGTTCGAGGGTGGGTTGGGGAACGCTTGCGATTGGCAGCAGAACTTAACTTATCACAAACAACAGTCTGAGGAAAGCTCGGTGGCACAACGGAGGCCCGAGATTCACGAGCCGAAGCCTTGCAGATGCCGCCGTGACACACCAAACCGAGCTGGTCAATGATGTTGAGTTATTTGTTCGCCCTCGCCTCCCCCCCCTTTCTTAATTTTTAATGGTTTGCTTTGGAATTGGTGTCCCGATTCAGTTGTCCGAGGGTGGGTAGACCGCTCCATGACAGAGTGAAGTTGGGGGGACAGGCTTGTTGATAAAAAATGTTAACTTTATATTTATATTTCCTAATGTTTTGGGATTCTCTGGGTGGAAGCAGCGGCTCTACTGGAGATTGCTCGACCCGGAGTTGCTAAACCCTAAACCCTAAACCCTAAACCCTAAACCCTAAACCCTAAACCCTAAACCCTTAACCCTAAACCCTAAACTTTAAACCCTGAACCCTGAACCCTGAACCCTAAACCCTAAACCCTAAACCCTAAACCCTAAACCCTAAACCCTAAACCCTAAACCCTAAACGAGGGGTCGCTTCCGTCGAGCGACAGACCCCGAGCGCTCGGCCGAGGGCCTTACAGCCCGAGCGCCCAAACGAAAAGAGCGGGACGCGGAGAGGTGCCCCCGAGGCCAAGAGGTCCCCAACCCCAAACAAGCGCAGCGGACCTAGGGTAGGGTAGGGCTCCCGGCCAAGGGCCCTCTGGGCGAGGCCAAGCCAAAAGCCCCCCCCCCTTTGTCGCTGAGAGCCCAGCACGCTCAGTCCTATGTGATCCGCGCGACCTTTGATGAGGCCTACGCACCTTTCTGTTGAGTGTTACGTGGCCCTCCTCCTCGAATGCGAAGAACCTGCCCGATTGGGCTCCGAATTCAGTGCAAATTTCCACGCCCCGCAACGTCGCAGGAAAGCTTCGACGTGTGCGACTGTGGCTGTTCATGGTAGGAAAGAACGTCGCTTCCAGAAGTTTTCTACGAACCTGCTCGGCATCGTGCTCGGACATGGGCTAGCGCCTTGGGCGCCAAGCAGGCGGACCGTGATGTTGATGGTGCTTGGGTCTACCTTTCCAACGTTGCTTAGAGTGTGTTGTGAGATGGTGGGGCCACCAAAGGTGTCCCTCGTTCTCCAGCCTAGCGTCCTCGGAAGGAATGTTATAGGAGTAAGGCGGCTAAGCGCCTTGAGGGCGTTGGTCTGGTCAGGTTGCGGAGGGTGACTCTTGATCAGCTCGCTCGATAGCCACATGATCCCAGATTGCGTGATAAGACTGATTGCGCAACCCAGGGACTCGTTGACTCCTTGAATGAGCTGCGCCACTACTTCACCAGGAGGTTGCAAGTCAGGAGCGTGCTCAGGCATTGAAGAGTTGGCGCTCTACCATGCGTGATTCTGTGCAGAAGCCGTCCAATTGGGTCAAGAGGCGAGCTGCGTTGAAGTGTGACCTGGTGTCTCCGAAGATCTCTGATTGCGCCGTCCTTAGTCGCAGGGCGGTGCGCCCTGTGGAGATGATCCGTCAGGCTGAGGCAACTTGGATTCTCTGATCGTCTACTACGTGCTGCTCGCAAGATGCGTGCGTGTGCTGGGGGGCCAGATGGTTGAGGTTGAGCGCTTCCTTGCCTTTCCTGCCCCCTTCTGGCAGGCACTCAGTGATCTTTTTTTGGTGCCGAGCTTATCAGGTGGCCTCCTCCCATGCAGATGGCACGAGGCGCGTGTGGCCTTAGTTGTTCACGGGTGGCAGCCTCCACCGGTTGGCTCACTACGCCTTTGAGGGGTGCCAATGCTCGGCTGACTTACGTTCGAGTCGTGGCGGAGTGTTCCATATACGATCACTGGTGTTGCCTATAATGTCCTGGGCTGGGGCTGTGGTCAGCATTGAGCATACCCAGGTCTGCGAAGCCAGAGAGGTGCTGATTGCCAAGCACTCTGGCGGCCAGCGCCCACTTTGTGTTGCAGCTAAGAGACTTGGTTAGGCCGCCGCCTGCTGGGCGGCGTGCTGGAACATAGCGTCCTGCGCACACTTATGCGACTGACACCAGTGCGCCGGTCTTCGTGGCTGAGGGTCTGTGAGGATTTCAATTACGATTCAATCCGAGCGGAGAAAGCGTGTAGTGTTGCGACGCTTCAAGGCCCCAACTTCATCAAAGTCGGTGCGACGTGCCGACTCCTCCTGCCCTTGCAGCAGTAAAAGCATCATATAACGGATCGGGGTCTACGCGAGCCAGTGGCCGGCCGTCTTCAAGGGAGTACTGCAAGGATGCCCCGCGTCCCATTATACGAAGACTCGGACGAGAACGTGGGTTTTGATGCAATTGGTAAAGACTGTGTTCCAGCCTCCGTTTCAAGCTCGGTAAACTAGGATGGCTTGCCAGGACAAGTTTGAAAGGGTCCGAATTCAGAATCCACATGTTGTCGAAAAGTTCTATAATGTTTGACGTCAGAGAGCTGGGTTTGATAAAATCGTCATTTTGATTTCTGGCAGGGAGTTTTACATTTTTTTGTTTTTCTTGGGGTGGGGTTGTCTTGGGCCGTGGTCGCAGCTCGCTACGCCGGCTTCAACGGTTGACGATGGAAGTCGTGGGGCACGGCATCTTCGGATGCTACCCCTTTCCACATTGAACACTCATCATCATCATCATCATCATCATCATTCATCATCATCATCATCATCATCATCATCATCATCATCATCATCATCATCATCATCATCATCATCATCATCATCATCATCATCATCATCATCATCATTCATCATCATCATCATCATCATCATCATCATCGTCGTCATCATCATCATCATCATCATCATCATCATCATTCATCATCATTCATCATCATCAGCATCAGCATCAGCATCAGCATCATCATCATCATCATCATCATCATCAGCATCATCTTCTTCATCATCATCATCATCGTCATCATCATCAGCGACGCAATCGTAGATTCAGGCCAAGAATCCCTATAGACCCCTGACCGCCAGAACTACCCAAACAGAACCATCGGCATCATGGCGCTTCAACCAACAAACAGAAAGAAGAGCTGGACCGCCAGGCCAAGAAGACCGTCATTGCCAAGGGCCTGCCAGCCTCGCCAGGGGCGGCTGCCGGCAAGGTGGTTTTCACGGCCGACGAGGCTGTGACTCGCTCGGAGAACGGGGAGAAGGTGATTTTGGTGCGAGTCGAAACGAGTCCAGACGACATCCATGGACTGCATGCGGCAGAGGGCGTTTTGACTTCTGGCCTGCATCAGACATGACCTTCTTTCTTGATGGCTGGACACGATTTGATCTAGATAAAGCGGAATCAGCAGGGAAAGTTTAGAAGGGTTAAAAGGGTTGCCGCCAAACATGATTGTGTTCCATCAGCTCGAGGACAACTCGCGGCGGCATGACCAGCCACGCAGCCGTGGTGGCGCGCGGCATGGGCAGACCTTGCGTGGCAGGCGCCGGGGAGGTGAAGGTCAACTACGCCTCGGCCTCCTTCGAGGTGGGCGACGTGGTCGTCAAGGAGGGCCAGCTGGTCACCATTGACGGCGTCACGGGAGAGGTGATGCTTGGAGAAGTCCCCACGGTGCCGCCGCAGCTTTCCGGCTCCTTCGGCACCATCATGGCCTGGGCAG